ATGTCATCATCATCGTCAACTTGTATGCGCCCACTGATGGACATAGGTCTTCAACAGCTCTTTCCACTTGTCTTTGTCTTGACCGGCTTGCATTCAGTTATTGCTAGCATGCGTCAGGTCTCTAGTTGGACAGCGTACTCTGCTCCGTATTGCTTCTTGTCTTGGTCTCCACACGACAATAAGTTTTGTCCATCGGATATGTGATAATCTGGAGACGTGTCTTGTCCAATTTCATTTTAGCTACGAGATTTTTTCAATGGCGCCTTTGTTTTAGTACTCCGACGTATTTCTTCGTTCGGGATTCGCGACACTTGATTCAAGACACCTAAAATATTGCGCTCCATGGCCTGCTGAGTCACGCGAATCTTATTCACTACCTTTTTTGTTAGTGTTAATATTTCCGCTCCAAAAGTTAGTACAGGTAACACACATTGGTCAAAGATTTTCTTCTTGAGGCACATGGGTAGATCCAATTTAAATACGTAGTTTAATTCACCAAACGCTGCCCAGGCTAATCCTATGTGACTTGGAAGCTCACATGTCTGGTTATATCTGCCCAACCGAATTTTATGTCCCAAGTACTTATTCGATGTAGTCTGCACAATATTCCTTCCATCAACAGCAATATTTCGATTTAACACCAGATTAGTCATTATTTTTATTCATATTAATATTTAGTCCGACTTCCAAGAAAGCGTGATATAATTTTTCAAACATTATTATTGCATCATCCATACGATCTGCTATAAGGACGATGTCATCTGCAAATCTCAAATGACTGAGCTTCTCTCGATTTATGTTGATACCATGCTCGTTCAGATGTGCCTTCTTACAAATATGTTCTAAAAGCGTCGTGAATAGCTTTGGAGAGACAGTGTCTCCTTGCCGTACTCCTCGCTGTATACAGAATGTATTTGTTTCTTGTTCAGATAGTCTCAGGCTAGCTGTGCATTTTGGTAGATATATTTGATTATGTTAGTGTAGCGATGGTCTATTTGGCATTCTGTCAATTCTTTTAACATTTTCTGATGGCTTATGGTATCGAATGCTTTCTCTTAGTCAACAAATATCAGTGCCAATGGTTTGTTGTATTCTGCAGACTTCTCTATCCGGTTTTTTATAACTAGTCAGTGATAGTTAGTGCTGTATTTCGTTTTAAATCCAGCTTGTTATCTAAGCTGGTAGAAGTTTAATTTAGCGTCCAGTCTTTTTTTGATAATTTTTGTGAAAAGTTTATATAAGTATGAAAGCAAACTGATATGACAATAGTTATTTAGATCTATTATGTCTACTTGATTGTGTAATAAAATAATTACTGCATTGTTGTATTGAAAAAAAGTTTTTCCTTGGTGGATGCATTCGGTGAAAACTTGCACTCAAAGACTGGATAATTTTATTTCCACCTATTTTGATCGCTTTGATCACTACTCCGTCATCGCCATGGAATTTGTTATTTTTAATTTCTAGAAGTCCCGTTTTAATTTCGTATGGTGTTATTTCTGGCATTAATTTGCCAGATGCCAGAGAGCAAAATCTACTAGTTAAAAATACAATAATTAGGAAACTACGAATAACTGCTTACCTAAAGAATACACTACATTGGAGAAGGTAATTTAGAATTAAGAATATACACTGTGTCCGTAACGTATGGAACAAATTCTTTTGTAGCTAAACAGAGCATTTTAAGAAATAATCCTGAAACACGTCGATTTTAAATTTTAATTAACCGTATTTTAAAGTAATATTCTAATATACAGGGTAATGGTGAATACGAGGATATATGAGTAATGACGTCACTGTCATTTTTTTTTAAATGGAACACCTCCATTTTGTCTCAATTTTCGGATTACTCTAGCTGAGCAGATTCCAAAAATGTATCACCTGTTGATTCAAATCGGTACAGGGTGGACAAACATACAATAGTTTTTTGGGTGTTTATAAATCAACGCGTTAGTTAAATTAACAATATTATCAAAAATACTTATTTTCTAGAGGACAGAATATGATAAAATACATGACTTTATAAATGTTCGAACTGCAGCCCTTGCTGTATTTGACGGTAACCCAAACGTTGTACAAATTCTTGTTGAATCTTATTAATTGTGTCTTGAGAAATATTGTTTATTGCTGTCCAAATTCTCTGTTGTAATTCTTGAATATTTGCTGGTTTCGTTTGATACACAACATTCTTCAGATGGCCCCACATAAAATAATCAAAGGATTGAAATCTGGTGACCTCGCTGGCCATTCAATAGGTCCACGTCTACCAATCCACCTGTTCGGAAAAATTTTATCTAGGTACCTTCTAACATCTACAGCATAATGTGGAGGTGCACCATCCTGTTGCAACCATAAACTTTCATCAAAACCTCCAGGATTACGTCTGCTGGAAAACAAATTACGTAAAGTAGGTACGAGACACCCCCTTAAAAACTCAAGGTACGTTGCCCCGTTTAAATTAGCTTCGATAAAGTAGGGTCCGATGATTCGATTTCTTACAATTGCAGCCCATACATTTACCTTTTGCGAGTATTGTGTATGATACTCACGCATCCAGTGGGGGTTTTCTTTTGCCCAGTATCTACAATTCTGACGGTTAACCTCGCCATTTAACGTGAAAGTGGCCTCATCAGAAAAAATAATGTTTTGTACCAAGAGAGGGTCTCGGTGGAAGTTATCCATCATTGCTTCTAAAAATTGCTTTCTTCTATCGGGATCATCTTCGTTTAATTCCTGCACAAGATTGGTTTTATAAGGATGCCATTTTTCAAGCTTTAATAGTTTGTGTACCGTTGTTTTGCTAACACCGATATCGCGACTAACTTAACGCACAGAAGTGTGCGCATCTTCTTCAAAACTAAGTAAAACATCTAATGCTGTATCAGCATTTGCAGAGGAACGACCTGATTTCCCTGCATTTTCAGCCGTACCAGTTTCTCGAAATTTCTTTTCATTCTTACTGACTCATGACAAATTGCACATTTCCATCTGAGTTCGCGATCTGTCTCCATACCAAATCATCATAAGCATTTCAATCTTTGCTTTAAACTTAACTTCATTTCTACTTCAAATTAAATCTTGGCAATAATATAAACATTCACAAAAACATAGCTTACTATGTTTCTTTTAAATTGATAAGAAATAATTTATTTCATATTCTTTTCGCTAGACAATAAGTATTTTTGATATTGTTAATTTAACTAACGCGTTACTTTATGAGCACACACAAAACTATTGTATTTTTGTCCACCCTGTACCAATTTGAATCAACATGTGATACATTTTTGGAATCAGTTCAGCTAGAGTAATCCGAAAATTGAGACAAAATGGGGGTGTTCCATTAAAAAAAAATGACGGTGACGTCATTACTCGAAAGTAATTCACCCTGTGTATTAGAATATTATTTTAAAATACGGTAAATTAAAATCAAAAATCGACGTGTTTCAGAATTATTTCTTAAAATGCTCTGTTTAGCTAAAAAATAATTTGTTCCATACTTTATGGACACAGTGTATGTGTGTATAAAGGATACTTTACGAAATTCCCAATTCTTGGTGAATAATAAATTGTTAATTTACAAGCAAATGCTGAGGTTTGTATTGACATACACACGTATCTGTGCAATGTATTTTTAAAGAAGAAATTATTTATAAACTTTAAGAGAGAGTTAGTACTTCAAGGTATTTAAAAAACAATTATCAATTAAATGAAAAGTGTTTCTCCTAAATAATCCAGAAAAATAGAACATAAAATGTAGAGTATATTGGAACTTAAATTAATGTATAAAAAATAGTTTCTGCAAGCAAATTCCACTTTAAATTTTTTTTTAATTAATCTAGTTTTAATATTGGTTTCAAACATTATGAGACAGTAAACAGATTCTTGTGTTTTTACTTATAGTAATAAAAATATATACAAGGATGTTTTATAACAAAATTAAACTAACTTACAAAGTTTAATTTTTTAATGTGAAATATGCCTTATGTAGATATAACACAACCAAACAACTTAACTCTTTTGCAATATTATTTTGCTACTTGTATTGTTGCACAACATTGGACAAAAAATATAATATCCTTTATAAAGATTTTAATGAAGAAATTTGCAAAAAGATATTTGCAAAGAATTTACGTCATACCAAAATTAAAAATTCGAAAAATTCGTTTAATTCGAAACACGAAAATATATTTCTTTACAAAAAACTTGATTATCTGAAAGTTTTGATATTTTTTGATGATTTTTACTGGATTAATACATTTAATATTTATTTTATTTATTGTTCTAACAAAAAGCAACCCCCTCTGTGGCTCAGTGGTAAGAGCGCCTGCCTTTAAACCTAAAGGTCGTGAGTTCGAATCCCACCTGGGTGGAAATTTTCGTTTATTAAAAAAATTAATAAATGAAAATACTTTCTATCCTTGTGTGATCGGTACACACCGGAGGGACCGCAGACGTTCGGATACAATTAGCGTCTCTTAGCAAAGACAATGACGTCGACTTTGCTAAGTATCAAGACAAATTACTCTACACACACACACACACACACACACACACACACACTACACCTCAAATTGTAAGATTGGCGAATGGATTTAGTGTCCGCAGTCATATAAACACAAACAAACAACAACTAACAAAAAGCAATTATATTTATAGTTTCTGTCTCAAGTTTTCATAATGTTTTAATGGCTGAAAACTTGTACTTGGTAATAAAAATAATATATTATGGGATTTTAATATGAGAATTTAAATTATATTGAAAGTTATATTATTTACTTGCATTTATTTATTATTTTTAGTAGAACATAAATAAAAACCTTACATTTTATAAACCTAACTTTCGTTTGTCATATTTTTTTTTAATATTATCATATTTAATTATCGTTAAACCTTTTTATGAATTGGAATTTTCTGTGAATTTTGGTAAACTGCAGCTGATTTGGACATCAGATTAATCAGGTTAAATGTATTGTTCTCTCTATAGGGTTTCGAATACTTACCTTCATCATAAGTAACAACGTGTTAAATACAATTAACATCATGATAAAATACTCGAAGGGAGTGGAAACAACAATTCTCCATATTTTGTATTTGAAGCTGTTCCGTTTGTTTGGCATGTACCTCTCCAACGGCCGGGCTTGTATGGTGAAGTCGATGCAAGATTTCTAAAATCAAACGACAATAAATATTATGTATCTTTTAAATTAATTCTTAAAAAAAATACTTTTATATTTACAAAAAAAACCGCTTCAACCTAATAAGGTTATTAGCGGAACGGTAACAGTTAAATACATTTTGATTAGTAAATTAAAGTATTTTAAAAACAAATATACGTTTGTGTTTTTTAAATTTAAAATATATATGAACCTCTCATAAAAACTAGCTTAACCTATGGTACAGAGACATGGAGACTAATAGAAAGCAATAAAAGAAAACTCGAAGCAACAGAAATGGATGTATTTAGACGATCACTTCGAATATCTAGGGCAGACAGAATTAGAAACAATGAAATAAGGAATCGGATGGGGGTAGATGGATCACTGGGAACAGACATAGAAAGGAAACAACTTATATGGTATGGCCATGTTCAAAGAATGCCAGAAACAAGACTACCAAAAATCGCCATGAAATGGATACCACCAAATCGTAAGAAACGAGGAAGACCAAAAAGAACATGGAAGGAGGGAATAACAAAGGCAATGAGCTCCCGAGACTTGACCGAAGAACAATGGAATGATAGAAATTCGTGGAAATTATCAGACAATGACGTAAAACGTTTTAAAACCGATATATATATATATATAATATATATATATATATATATATATATATATATATATATATATATATATATATATATATATTTATATATAAATTTATATATAAATTTAAAATGTCTTTAAGACTATTTGGTAAATGGTATTTAATTCTGTGACGCTTCTGTAACGAAATGGGCCACCAAAGACAAAATTGAGAAAGAGCTATAACGTATAAAAGATGAGAAGGCCATGGGACTAGATGAAATACCTACAGAAATCTTAAGTATACTAACAAAAAATCGTATGGGTACACTAATAGAATTATTTAATGACATTTATTATACGGTAGAGATTCCGAAAGAATGATTAATATTATGGTTATATTCATTTCAATACCCAAACAATCAAACACAATGAAGTGTGAAGAGTACAGGGCAATAAGCTTGATGAACCATATTCGAAAAGTGTTGTTACGAGTGATACATGAACGTACCTATAAAAAGCTAGATGGTAGAATAGCTAAAAACTAATTGGGATTCAGAAAAGGCTTTGGCACCAGAGAAGCATTATTTACTGTGCAAACACTAATCGAACGATGTCGAGATGTCAATTGCGACGTATTCATATGTCTAGTCGACTTCGAAAAAGCTTTCGACAAAGTACAACACCGAAGAATGATAAAAATACTGCAGAATACAGAATTAGATGACGAAGACGTGAGAATCATTGCCGATCTATACCGATATCAGATAGCCATAATAAGAATAGACCAACAAAAATCGAAAGAAATACCTATAAATCGTAGAGTAAGACAAGGATGTGTGCTTTTCCCTTTATTTTTTAATATGTATTCAGAAGAATTATTTAAAGGGACATTAGAAGACGTAAATAAAGACATATCTATTAACGGAGCACTTCTGAATAATCTTAGATACGCAGATGACACAATACTCATTGCGGACAGCAGAGAAGGACTACAGATCTTGGTTGATCGCATTACTCAATACTGCGAAAGGTATGGAATGGCACTGAATAAAAATAAAACAAAAATCATGATGGTAAGCAAGAACAAGATTGAGGAAGACAGTGTTTATGCTAAAGGAAAACTTTTAGGCAGAGTGCACACATATCAGTACTTAGGTTGCGAACTAAATGAAGAATGGAATAGAAGCACGTCCTTTTAATAGAATGAAAGCAATATTATACAATGGAAAACTCAACATTGAAATTAGAACTAGAGTATTGAGACACTACGTATTATCTGTCCTGTTGTATGAAATTGAGGTCTGGACAATTACAGAGGCGACAGAGAAAAGACTCATAACAAATGCGGAAAGGCCTTCGAAGAATCAAAAAAGATAAAGAAATACTCAACACTATAAAGAAAAGAAAAATGAGCTACTTTGGTCACATACTAAGAAACGAGAAATACGAATTATGTGGCTGGTCATACAAGGGAAGGTGGAAATCAAAAGAGGGCCGGGAAGAAAACGCACGTCCTGGTTGACGAATCTGAGACAATGGAGTGGGAAAACATCAATATAATGGCTGCAGATAGAGTCAAATGGGCCATGATGATCGCCAATGTCCTTAGGGATGGGGCACGTTAATAAGACGCTTCTGTGACATTTTTCCACTAGCACATGTTTTACTGTAAGAGGTGAACCGCACGCATCACAAATCGGGCGTTCTTCTTTCTTAAACAAATGTTCATGAGAAAACATAAGATCAGTAGATTGGGGCGATATGGGAATTCTGTTGTCGTTTATAGATTCCTTGGTATTTTTGTCCGCTGCTTCGTTCCCTGTTATTCCAACATTGTGACCCACAGAAACTTGATGTTTATATCTTAAGTATGCAATTCATTTAGTTGTTCCTTTATTACTAAAGCTAATGGATGTTGCGTGTATATTTTCCTGATTATTTGTAGTGATGACATAGAATATATCACGATTAATATGTTGTTTATTTGATTTGCATCTTGTAGTATCGCTTGGTAAATTGCATGGAGTTCTCCTGTTAATATAGTTGCAGTATCTGGAATTCTATGTTTTGGGAATCTTTGTGCTGTTAATTATTGCCACTTCGACTCCCTTTTCCTAAGGGTAGTAATTGCTTCCATTTAAGTAGGTTCATTGCATCATAAATTATACGGGAATATGGGAGATATTAGTTCTGCTGACTCCGGAAAAGTCAATTACGGAATCAGCAGAACTAATATTAGGAAAAAGTAGGAAGGGAACAAGTAAATGGTTTGATAAAGAATGTTAAGAAAAACTACGCGACAGACAGATAAAGCAAAACATTAGGCTTAGGAGAACAGCGGAAAATAAAGAAAACTAAAACACGCCGAGAAACAAGAAAATTAATTAGAGAGAAAAAAAGGAAGTAGGAAATTTACAAATCAGTGTCAAACGAAAAGAAAGGTTTCAGACCTAGATGCGTTTTTGTCAATTTTTGATTGACCGGTGGATATGTTGATTTAATTTCTTCATTGTTATGTAGTTGAAGCCTTTCCGTCAGCTGCCTTCTTTTACCTATTAGGTATTGTTTTTTTTTGCTTAGTTATTCTTTATGGGTCAGGACGGTCGGGCAGCACTCCCTTTCCGTTTCTTTTACAGCCTTTGTTATGCCATAATTTGCTTGATCTATATCTTTTATTTCATCTTTCAAGTCTTGTATATGTCTGGTGTTCAACAAATGTCTGTTTGAAGCTAAAATACCTAAACAATGGACAAATACCAACACAATCTTAATACATAAGAAAGGCGACCAAACAGACCTAAACAACTACCGTCCTATTTCCCTTTTGTCACAACTATATAAAACCTTCTCAAGAATAATAAACAACCGACTAACCTATAAACTTGATAACTACCAACCAGTGGAACAGGCCAGATTCAGGAAAGGATACAGCACAATCGACCATCTATATGCGCTTAAAATCTTAATTAAGAAAACCAATGAATACAACCTTCCGCGGTACTTAGCATTCGTAGATTATGAAAAGGCTTTCGACAGCTTTGAACACTGGGCGGTTGAAGAAACTCTGGTCAATAGTAGAATAGATTCAAGATACCGACAATTGATACAAGATATTTACCAAAACGCAACCATGACCGTAATTCTGGACAACAAATTAATAACGGGTAATATAAAAGTTAAACGAGGAGTTCGACAAGGCGATATAATTTCACCTAAACTGTTTACCTTGACCCTCGAAGACATAATAAAATCAACAGATTGGGAAAACAGAGGAATATGTATTAACGGAAGATACCTAAATCACCTTAGATATGCGGATGATATACTCGGAACGACAAGAACTGGAATTAATGCTGAATGAACTTCATGATAAATCACTGCAAAAAGACCTAAAAATTAACTTCAACAAAACAAAAGTAATGACAAACACGGAAGACCAAGAGGCAATAAAAATACAAACAGAAAAAATAGAACAGGTAAATGAGTATATCTATCTAGGACAAGCAATCAGAGCTAACAGAGAAAATCAAACAGCCGAAATATCGAGACGAGTAAGAATGGGATGGGCAGCGTTCGGCAAACTTTCTTACGTTCTAAAAAATCAAACAATCCCTCTATACTTACGAAGCAAGGTATATAACTCCTGTATAATACCGGTGCTCACCTACGGAGCACAGACATGGACATTTACACAGGCCAATTTGGATAGGATAAGGAAGGCACAAAGAGCGATGGAGAGACAAATGTTGGGTGTATCACTTAAAGATAGAAAACGTAACCAGTGGATCAGAACCAGAACAAAGACAGTAGACGCGATAGAACAAGCAGCAAAACTGAAATGGAAATGGGCTGGACACAATGAACGTCTCCAAGACGGACGATGGAACAATGCCATCGGAAAGTGGCGTCCATACAATGCAAAGAGATCAAGAGGCAGACCACAGATGAGGTGGAAAGATGACATCAGGAAACAAGGAGGTCCCACATGGCAGAGAACAGCTCAAGATAGGGAAAGATGGAGAGAACTGGAGGAGAATTATATCCAACAATGGAAGGATAGAGAATAGGTTCAAAAAAATATGCCTGGTTGGTGTATCTTCATACCTACAGGTCGTTGTTTTCTGGGGGATCCACTTCTCTTTTCTTGTTTTTAGGATCATCTTTGCTCTTTCCAATATGACATTTAATAGTATTTTAACTTGTATTTCAATCTTTCATACTTTAATATTTCTTATTTAGTATTTATTAATTATTATTATAATATTATATTATTAGAAAAAGCATAAGAGACTAAGCATAGTTTTTTTTCCATTACTTTCCTAATAATCGTACCTTTTTTATTAGACTTTTAATTTTTCGTGAGACTGACTGAAAACTATTTTAAAGATGGTTATTCATTAACTAATTAATTTTCAATAAATTTACTAATCTACTTTATATTGTATTTACCACAATTATTGTTTAATAGTGATGGTAATCAATTGAAGTTTTTAGTGAAAAATCTACACTGTACTTACCTGGTTTTTGTCTATTTCTCCGCTTTGAAGTTCAGCCTCACCCTGTTCTTGAAAGGTAATGATGATCAAGGCCACGAATATATTTACAAAGAAGAAAGGAAATACTACGAAATATACAATATAGAAAATGGATATCTCTATTCGGAAATTTTGAATTGGGCCTTGATCCTCATAAGTGGCAGCCATTGAATTTTGCAGAATCCTGAAAAACAAGATTCACTTTTTAATTTAATTTAAATACAAAATAAATATACTGTTTAAAATTATTGCACCACTACCATTTTATAATTTATTTTCCTTATTTAAGAGTATATTAACTGTGATTGTAAGAAATCTGAGTTCTCTGAGGTCTCTGAAGAAACTCTGAGTTCGTTAATGTCTGTGTCACGTTTTACGTTTTGAATCTTGACAAAGGCAAGGGTTTCCTGCCGAAACGTTGATTGATTGCAATGGAAAATAAAATCTAGTTCCACATGTAACATATCTTTATTGAACCTAAACCCAAGAAACATTAATTTTATATTAAATATAATACGGTTCAAGAAACTCAATACTACTATATATATATATATATATATATATATATATATATATATATATATGTGTGTGTGTGTGTGTGTCACTTCCATGACGAAGCAGTATAGGCACTCTGATTTAATACCTTGAGTTTGTTTTTAATCCGACGTCGGCCGACGTCGCCAGATATCGGATCGGGAGAAATACGGTTCCAATGTAGGTGTACACTTAAATTATTAATAAGGATTTAACTCACTCTCGCAGATTAAACAAAATTATTATTTCAATAATAACTTTCGTGGTTAATACAAATTAATCAAAATCTACTACTATAATAAACGATACTAAAAATTCAAATAAATATACCAAATATTTTACAAAAGATAAAAAAACTAGGATTTCATATTATCACATCCACAAATGTTTACTGCTAAATTCATTTTCTACGTTTTTCAGATTTTTCATATAATTGTATTTTATATCTATTATTAAGTATTATTATTAAGTATAATAAGTCAAAATAATTGAATAACAAATAAATTTATCAACTTACTGAGGCCATCCTTCGCCAGTCTGTACAGCAAACAGCGTCAGCATCGCCATGGGGACATTGTCGTAATGGAATTTTTGTGGCAACCATTCGCGACTTTGCACCTGAGGCACATCATTGTCTTCTTCATATACAAAATATTGACCTCTGTAATAGATTTAAAAAATCAACATTAGATTAAAAAACAATACAAATTTGTATATAAGTTAGAAAATTAGTTTAGTAGTATATTCTGTATGTATAGTAGTTTTTTAAATTTTTGGTCAGGATTGTTAAATACATGTGTAGCTGTTGGTTGGAGTTACATCTAAACAATTTTTCTACGCGAGAGGGATTCATGTTTGTTCTGAGTCTTCTTCATCCCAAAACTTTTATGTTGTCCAACTGTCTCTCTCTTGTGCACACTGAAGGTGTGCATGAGGGCTGACTGCTTTTACTTTGCATTATTTTTTCTTGTACCTTAGCCAATCAAGAATGTATTATAGTCTTGTTAATAATCACGAGCTAACGTGAAGTGCTTTTCTTCAGTGTCTCTTTTTAATATGTCATCTGACAGTTCTTTTTTTAGCTCATCCTCGAGTTATCGCATTGGTTTACGAATACGGCGATGCCTCGAGAATCTGGTTGTGTGTGTATGTGTGTAGTCTTCTACCGTAGCCATTTTTGTGATATTTTAATTTTTTTGTTGATCTGTGCTTTTTTGTTGTTTTTTTTTTTAATAATTTTGAGTATAATCTTATATCTTTTTCTCCTTTTTCTTACCCAGAACCGTATGCTCGTAGATGACTCTAAGTTATTGATTTGGTCGTTTTTATTATATTCTCTTTGGTCGTTCAGAGTTTAGTTTAGATTCACGTTTTCGCCAATATTTGTTGCATTCCTTTTCCATATGTCCTGGAAGGATATTGTTCTGAAGCTATTTTCTTGTGGCATTTTAAATAAATTACTATTTAACTGGAAATAAGCCACAATTAAAGATAAAATACGTTTATTGACGTTTCAATTTCCACTTCGGAAATCGTTCGAAAAGAGTTCCACTTCGAGTCAGAAATTTTATCTGACTCATTTATATTGACAATTCAGACACATATTATGCATTTTAAAGTAGACGAATTTGATATTGCCAATATTATTGAGTTGCGCTCCTGGGACGACTTTACTTATAAGATAGTTCATTCGATTACATGAAATTAACTTTAACTTGAGAATATCCGTCAGAAAAAAATCATAGCATGTAATTCGTCTTTAAAAAGACAAACACATGACATGATGACAGTAAAATTCTCGTGTTAGTGATTCCATAGTAAATTATGAGGGAAAAACCAGGAAAAAAACCTCATAATACTATCCCGACATGGTAAGTATTTGTTCGTGCATTTAGTTTACCTTCAATAAACACCAAAATTCTGATTTTATATGTTTCGTTATTTAAAAAACATAAATGATATATCCTCTATATGTTACTGACTTACTAATACTGGTATTTTCTTATTAATAACTTCCTCTTTTAATATTGGTAACCAGATCCTACTATATTCTGCCGAGGAATTTGCGACACAATTGGCCTCATTTAGCATAATTATAGCCGCTTCTTTGATTTTTCTTTTTTTAGCATCCGTTTCTTTTAGGACTACATTTGAATTATTATATTGAACCCTATGTTCATTATCCCATGCGTGTTTACATATTTGAGATCTATCAAATTCTCTTTTTTAATATAAGATTGATGTTCACTTATTCTAACATTTATTGGCCTTGATGTTTCACCTAAATAAAACTGATTGCATTCACAAGGTATTTTATAAATGCAATTCTTTGTCCTTTCTTGTTCATTGTTAGGTTTGGTTTTGGACCAAATAGATCTAAACGTGTTTGTTGTTTTGAATGTTGTTGAAATATTTAACAACTTAGAACAAGATCCTACAGCATACACAAGGAATAATACCAGGAAAATAACAATACCGTCCATAAAAGGATTATCAGAAAAACTTAAAAGGATAGGAAATAAATTCAACATTCAAAACAACAAACACGTTGTAATCTATTTTGTCCAAAACCAAACCTAACAATGAACCAGAAAGGACAAAGAATTGCATTTATAAAATACCTTGTGAATGCAATCAGTTTTATTTAGGTGAAACATCAAGGCCATTAAATGTTAGAATAAGTGAACATCAATCTTATATTAAAAATAGAGAATTTGATAGATCTCAAATATGTAAACACGCATGGGATAATAAACATAGGGTTCAATGGAATAATTCAAATGTAGTCCTAAAAGAAACGGATGGTAAAAAAAGAAAAATCAAAGAAGCGGCTCTAATTATGCTAAATGAGGCCAATTGTGTCGCAAATTCCTCGGCAGAATGTAGTAGGATCTGGTTACCAATATTGAAAGAGGAAGTTATTAATAAGAAAATACCAGTATTAGTAAGTCAGTAACATATAGAGGATACATCATTTATGTTTTTTAAATAACGAAACATATAAAATCAGAATTTTGGTGTTTATTGAAGGTAAACTAAATGCACGAACAAATACTTACCATGTCGGGATAGTATTATGAGGTTTTTTTCCTGGTTTTTCCCTTATAATTTACTATGGAATCACTAACAGGAGAATTTTACTGTCATCATGTCATGTGTTTGTCTTTTTAAAGACGAATTACATGCTATGATTTTTTTCTGACGGATATTCTCAAGTTAAAGTTGATTTCATGTAATCGAATGAACTATCTTATAAGTAAAGTCGTCCCAGGAGCGCAACTCAACAATATTGGCAATATCATTTTAAAGTCGTCTACTTTAAAATGCATAATGTATGTCTGAATTGTCAATATAAATGAGTCAGATAAAATTAAATTATTAGAAGAATTTTTCACTATGTAACAAAAAACAAAATTTGTTTAATTTACTGTTTGTATTTTGAGAACGATTTCCGAAGTGGAAATTGAAACGTCAATAAACGTATTTTTATCTTTAATTGTGGCTCATTTCCTGGAAGGATATCTTGTATTTCTGTTTGATTTATTTAAGTGTGTGCTATAGCAGCAACGTAAGTCGTTATTGGAAAGTGATGAATATCATTTTGATCTTGCAATTTATATGCTTCTTTTAAAGCATCCTTTAATTTCTGTACTGATATTTGTTTCTTGCTATATTCTTCTACCTCAGGCCCGTGGCGACCATAACTAAGCGGCTAGGATACTGGCATTCTAAGCCGGAACGCTTGAATGCGATTCTCGATACTAACAAAGACATTTTCGTTTCTAAAAATGATACGAGTCGTTCACCGTGCATCGAAGGGCACGTAAAGACCTCGTTCTGAGTGGTATCCGTAATTTTATCTGTCCATATTAGGATCATTAGAATAGAGTTCATTAAAACGTATACAGTCTTAAAAAATTATCATCATCAAATAGTTATAATTGTTTTACAAAATGTTGTATACTTACTGGCAGGTCACAGCGGTAAATTTACTAGCATCTGTACAGTAGAAAAATTTTCCGTTAAATAACTGAACGGCAATCACAGCAAATATGAATTGGAATAATATATACACTATAAGAATATTTATCACATTTTTTAAGGAGTTCACTAAGCAGTCAAATACTGCTTTCAGTTTCGGCACTCTTTTTATTGTTTTTAAAGGTCTAAGAACACGTAACACTCGCAGAGATTTTATGGTAGACAAGTTGGCAGCTTCAGGACGCTTTCTGTAAGCAAGAAAGAAGAAATTAGTATTTTTATTTTAAAACTAAAATCGATAATAATTTACTCGATATATTTCGTAATCCGATTCCGTATTTATAAGTCCAGATTAAAAAAACTGAAATATTTTTAGTCCAGTAGTCCCGTAATTGGACAATGAAAGAAAATGGTGAAAAGAACCATACATGATCGAATAATGGTTATTAAAAGAAAAGATAAAATGTATGTTCAGAGCAAAAAAATTAAAATCCACAAAAAAAAAAATAAGTTCGTGTAGCTGGCTATAAACCATGTACCACAAAAAATTTATTTAAAATCCTTTATAAAAGGTATATAATTAAAATACCCTTCTTCTTCTCTGGGTGCCTGTCCGTTACGAACGTTGGCGATCATTCTGGCTATGATGATTTTGTTGGTTGCTATACGAAATAGCTGTGTTGAGGTCTTTCTATACCATGCTCTCAGGTTAGCAAGCCAGGATATTCTTCTTCGTCCTGGGGCTCTTTTTCCTTCAATTTTACCCTGCAAAATGCATTGGAGTAGCTCGTATCTGCCTTGATTTCTCATTATATGTCCCAAGTACTCCAGCTTACGGCTCTTCACAATGTTGACCAAATCCGCGGTTGTGTTCATCCTCCGCAGTACTTCTTCATTGGTGACTTTGTCTGTCCATGGTATCTTCAGGATTCTTCTGTATAACCATAATTCAAACGCCTGAAGTTTTGATAGAGTTTCCGCCTTCAATGTCCACGTTTCTACTCCATACAGAAGCACTGAGTACACGTAACATTTAAGGAGCCTTATTTTTGTTTTCAGGGTGAGGTCATGGCTTTTGAACACAGAGCTCATAGCCAAGAATGCACTTTTGGCCTTTCCGATGCGACATTTAATCTCTTGGGTATTGTCCCACGACTCATTGATTATAGTTCCCAAGTAATTGTATTGTGAGACACGTTCAATTCTCATTTGGTTCACATACAGATTTGCTCCAGTTATGTTTTGCTTGCTGATGATCATTAGCTTGGTTTTGCTGGTGTTTATATCCAGTCCATAGGTTCTACTTGTTTCTGTTATTTTGTTCATTAAGTTTTGCAGCCCTTCTATGGTATTGGAAAACACTATTGTATCATCTGCATACCGCAGGTTATTAAGCTTGACTCCATTTATTGAGATGCCTTCATCAATATCTTTTAGGGCCTCTTCAAAAATGTGCTCCGAGTACAGATTGAATATCAGTGGTGAAATTATGCACCCCTGTCTCACTCCTCTTAAGATTTTGACCTGTTCTGTATATTCTCCATCTATTCGGAGTACCGCTGATTGATTCCAATACAGATTAGCTATAATTTTTAAGTCTCTTCCATCAATACCTGTCCTCTTCAGCACTTCCATCATTTGTTCATGCCTGACTCTATCGAAAGCCTTCTTGTAGTCAATCAGGCATGCAAAAACATTACAGCTGACATCTCTACATTTCTGAAACAAGATCTGCACGCTAAATAAAGCTTCCCTCGTACCAACGGCGTTCACAAATCCAAACTGATTGGGCGCAATTTGTTCCTCGCATTTCCGGTAAATTCTTTTGTGGATGACCTTTAAAAACAGCTTCAGCAGATGGCTCATTAGGCTTATTGTCCTATAATCTTCACAAACTTTTGCTCCTGGTTTTTTGGGCAATGGTACGAACTCCGATTTGAGCCACTCTACTGGTATTTTTCCTGCCTTGTATATTTCATTAAATATATCAGTTATTATTTTTATTTGTTCTGTATCTAATAGCTTCAGCAGTTCTGCAGGAATTTCATCAAGTCCCGGTGTCTTTCCATCCTTCATTTGTCTGACGGCTGCCGTTATTTCTTCTGGTAGGATTTCGGGACCTGAATTTTCTTCAACGGTGGGCTCTTGTACTGTTCTAAGGTCATGGAAAAGTTTCCCCAAGTATTCTTCCCATACTTTTTTTTATCTTCTTTGGTTATGGCAAGATTGCCTTCATTATCTGTTATTTTTCCGCTGTTGCGTTTTCGAAACTTTCCAGCTATTTCCTTTACCTTTCGATGAACATTGAAGTTATCATATCGACTCTGATACTCTTCTATTTCTTGACATTGTTCTGTTTTTTGTTTCTCTTTGGCTTCTGTTATTTTTCTTCTGATGACGGTATGTATTCTCTTATATTCTTGGAGATTTTCTTTGTTTTTTTTTCTCTGATCCATAACCTCAAGTATTTCATCGGTCATCCACGATTTGCGTTTCTCTGTGTCTTTCTTCAGGTGTTGTTCATTTATTTCTCTCACACTTTCTTGTATGATGATCAGACTTTCCTCTATAGTTTCTGCATTTTTGCATGTTAGCACTCTTGTATTGAGGTTTCCACTTACCTTCAGTCGAACATTGGGATCTTTCAGTTCTCTAAAAGCATACTTCTTAAAAGATCCAATCGGGCTATATCACAAAACGTTTTTGGAATCTATATTCCATCATCAGTGTATCTAGGTGTACATGTTTTGAGCTACTAAATATTTGGGTAAAATTTATTTTAAATTTATTTGGGTTAAATTTAGGTTACATTATTTGATCTTATATATTAAGATGTTAAAGTTACCAGTGGATTTGATAACATGTCAACGTAAGATTCTCCATGAGGTTGCTGGTCTTGAGACAAAGTATCTACGAGGACTTGTTGATACCAACTTTGCTAGGCAACTTTTCTTTGCTTTTATTATTTTCTTTTGTCCTAACCTACCAATTACCTTAAATGTTTTTGACGAGTAATTAAATTGGTCATATTCCATTAATTACTTTAAAAAAAAAGTTAAAATTATTGTACGATCCGCCGAAAAACAATATTTTATATAAAATTAATAAATAAATTATAAATACTTACGCAAAATTAAAGCCCATGGAGACTAGTGCACAAATGACGACTACTGCATCCATAATATTCCAAACTTCCCTGAGATAAGACCCTGGGTGGAGGATAATGCCCAAATCGATCACTTTCAAAAACATTTCCACGGCGAAAACGCTAGTGAAAGCATAGTCGAATTTATCTAAAATAACGTTGCGAAAGGCATCTTCGTCCACGGGATCTTCACACGCAAGTGCAATAGAACTGAGACAAATCACTATCATAATGAAGAAATCAAAGTAACGTAAGTTAACTACCCAATGGGCACCTCTCCTCACTCTGAAATAAAAAAATAGATATTGTTCAAAACTTTAAAGAAAATACAGACAGTACATTCAACCAAATAACACTTTTAAACAATTAATGGAATTAATCAGGAAATCTTGTAGTAAAAGGCGCCATAAACTGCACTGGAGTTCTTCATATTATTTTTAATTACTTACTTTGTTTAGAATATTTTTGCCTGTATTATCAGTTAGACTTAATTTGTATAAAATGAGGAGCAAAAATTCAAATAGAATTTTAAATATTATTGTTTATTTGGCTAATAATGAATGTATAAATATAATGGTTAACCTGCTGTACAATTATTTTGTAAATAACATTATAATAGTGTACTTACTGATTATTTAAATTTATAAATCATCATCATCGTCACTAAATTCACTACTGCTATCATTATGTAAATCTATAATCACTGGATTAATTTCACTAATTTTATTTTCCCGGATCCACCACTCTTCTATTAATTTTTCACATTTATTTACAGTTTTGCCCATATTTCTGGAGTTGCAGTTTTAAGAGCTTCTTGTCACATTTCCCTAACTGCATCGTCACTGTATCCACTGCATCCAACGTGATTATCATAACACGTTTTACATATACCCCAGATATGTTCGATGGGATTAATCTGGCAGTGATACAGCGGTAAACGTAGTACTTGATGTCCATAACTTGATACAATATGGTCAAATATATAAACTGTTGGTTTTTCATAACGTTTCGAAGTTCCATGACTGTTTTGGTTGTTTCTCCAAAATCTTCAAATGGTAAGGTGCATTATCTAAGACTATAACTGATGGTTCACTCAGACTAGGTAATAGTTTCTTGTCAAGTCATTTAACAAACATATTAGCATTCATGTTTTCGTTGTCCTGCATGAAGAAGGATGTTACTTTTGCCTTCGCTATCTGTGTGTTTTATTGATTTTGTGCTATCGTCTTTTAATTTAACCCTTTGCAAATATCCATGTCTCATCTAAGTATACGAATGTTGCATTTTCAGATTTAAGTTTAGTATATTCTCTCAAAAATTTAATTCTTTTGTGAACCACACCACTCCTTTCGCATAAAACTAACCTATTATTTTCTTTGTTTAATTTAAATCCTAAATCCCTCAACACTTTCCAGGGGCTAGTCCTCTTAATTTCAGAATCACATGTTGATTGTTTTTACGCATTCGATACAAAATATTGCAAATTTCAAATTTTTCTCCATCAGGACGTAAGTCAATGCTCCTAGAAAGCTTACGAGTTGTTTTCTTGTCGTTGTGATATTTAGTCACAGTAAGATCTTTTTGAGTAGATAGTGTAAAAAACAAGAATATAGAATAATTTGAGGAAGATTAAAAGCTCGGTGTAGAAGGAAAAAGAGTTTACATGAGTTTTAATGAGTTTAAAAGAGATAGAAGACAAGTTTAAAAACAGAGAGGTGAGGTCGTTCTATCAGAAAGATGGAAAAAGGTTACCAAAGCCACTGTAATTATATGAAAGATAAAAATAAATAACAGAAGTCCTGGTAAAAATGACATATGCATAGAAATGATCAAGTTTGGTGGAGAACAACTGCAAAGAAAAATATATCAGCTACTGGTTCAAGTATGGGAAAAGGAAATAATGCTATCGGAGTGTTATGAGGCCCGCATATGCCCTCTGCATAAAAAAGGAGACAAACTAAAGTGTGACAACTATAGAGGTATAGCCTTACAAGACACAGTATACAAAATCTTGGCAAGAATATTGAGAAATAAAATAAATTGCTACACGGAAAGAATCCTGCATAAATATCAGGCCGGCTTTAAAAAGGACAGATCTACTGTAGACCAAATCTTCTCATTAAAGGAGATACAAATGACTTGTTATGAAAGTAAAGTTGCCCTGCATGTTTTGTTTCTGCTTTTAGACAAGCATATGATAGAGTCGATAGAGTCAAAATGTATCAAGCAGTGGAACATTTGGGTATACCAAAGAAACTGTTCCGGCTAGTTAAAATGACACTGAATAACTCTACGTGAGAAATTGCCGGGCAGAGTCACGTATCAGATCAATTTACGGTTGCAAAAGGCTTGAGACAGGGAGATCCTTTATCCACTACATTATTCAACTTAGTGTTAGAAACTGTAATCAGAAAATGCAGCATGAAGGTGGAAGAAACGATCATAAAAAATGAGCACCAGTGCTTGGCATTTACTGACGATCTAACGATCCTAGCAAAAACCTAGAAAGAATTAAGAAGAGTTCTCAAGAAAATCATCGAAGAAGCACAGAAATTCGGATTGGAACTAAATGAGGACAAAACCAAATATATGATCATGGGAGTGACCGAAGGGAAAAAATAAGACTTTGGTGTGAGGTCTGTAAGTGGTAAAGCTATAGTTTTAAAAGGGTGGACAAATTTGAATACATGGGTGTAGTTTTTGATGAAAATGGAAAAGAGAAATGGGAGCTCGAAGCCAGAATAGTAAAAGGGAATAAAAAATTAGGTAGTTTAAGAGCCCTACTGAACTCAAAATACGTTTCTAGTTAAGGTAAACTCAGAATATATAAAACAGTAATTCTACCTACAGTAACGTATGCCGGTAAGACTTTTTTTTTTAATGGCCTTGACATAGCCAATTGACCAGACTGTTTTGTAATTTGTATTCACAGAACAACAATCAGAGTTCGAATTAGTACTAAATGTAAGTTAAAAATAAAGTAAATAGTTGAGTTGTTTTGATTTTTCTTTTTTTGTTTGTTTGTGATTTTTTTTTATTTTTTTTTTTTATTTTTATATTTTTTTTTATTTGATTTTTTTATTTCCTTGTATTACTTTTTTGATATTGTATATAATATGTATATATAATATGTATATATTTTTTTTTTATAATTAGACTAAAAAAAATCAAATACAGAAAGAATATAAAACCTAACCTAGAAAAACTTAAAGACCCAATAGTACAGGCAGAAATAGAGAAAAAACTCAATGATACACTCAAAGAAAAGTTCAGTGAAACCCCCGCGGAAGCAGAAGAGACAATAGAAAGTATTTGGCACACCTTCAAAACAACGATGACAACTATACAAAGAGAACAACTACAAGACAGCACCAGAAAAACAAAGAATACATGGATGACAGAAGAAATCCTAGAACTGATGGACATAAGGCGATCTTACAAAAATCGTAATGTAGAAAAATATAAAGAAACCCAGAGAATCATCCGAAACAAAATTAGGAAAGCCAAAGAAGAATGGATGAGCAGCAAGTGTGAGGAACTGGGACATTTACTAAAAAAGCATGACTACTTTAATGCCTACAAAAAGATTAAGGAAGTCACAAATATGAAGAAAAAAATCACTACAACAACTTTAGTAGATGATAACAACGAAATAGTATCTAGTCCAGAAGAAGTAGGAGACATGTGGGAAAAATACATCGAAGATCTGTTTGATGACGAGAGAACAGAACCACAAATGAATATAGTACAAGAAACAATACTTGATATATTAACATCTGAAGTTACAAAAACAATCAATACGGCAAAGTCACGAAAAGCCTCAGGTCCAGATGAAATATACGTAGAGATGATAAAGCTCATCAATGAAGAAAATCTTCAGACATTAACAATATTATTTAACAAAATATATACCACTGGAATCTTCCCAGAAGACTGGCTTAGATCGACATTTATACCTATACCCAAGAAAAATAAAGCAAATAGATGCTCACAGTTCAGATTAATTAGCCTGATGAGCCATTTTCTGAAAATTTTACTCAAAATTGTACATCAACGAATATACAGAGAATGCGAAAGAAACCTTAGCGACAATCAATTTGGATTTCGTATGGGGCTTGGTACAAGGGAGGCATTATTTGGCCTCCAGGTATTACTACAAAAATGCCGAGATCAGCGAAAAGACGTCTTTCTCTGTTTTATCGACTACGAAAAAGCGTTTGATCGAGTTAAACACACAGAACTCATAGAAAACCTAACACAACATGGTATAGACCATAACACTGTAGCACTTATTAAAAAACTATATTGGGATCAAATGGCATCTATCAAAATAGACAATCGTCTGACAGCAGAATTGCCAATAAAAAGAGGAGTTCGTCAGGGCTGTGTACTTTCTCCACTGTTATTTAATATATATTCCGAAAAGATCTTTCAAAATGCCCTCGAAAATATTGAAGAAGGAATAAAAATCAACGGAGAATACGTAAACAACTTAAGATACGCAGACGACACCGTCAATATTGCGGACAGTGCTGAGGGTTTACAACGACTTTTGAATGTCATAACCAGAGAGGGAGATAGCTTGGGACTAAATATAAACACAAATAAAACAAAAGTGATGGCTGTTACACGTGCACCAAATGTCGACATTAATATTCGTATCTATAACAAACATATAGAACCAGTACAAAGATTCCAGTATCTTGGTTGCTGGATAACAAACGATCTTGACCACGAGGTCGAAATACGTGCTCGTATAGAATATGCTAGGTCCGCATTTCAGCGAATGAAAAAATTTCTAATAAACTCTACGTTATCGTTGGACATCCGATACCAATTTGTAAAAACGTTTATTTATTCCATATTGCTATACGGAGTGGAAACATGGACTCTCGGAATTACAAGTATGAGGCGTATAGAAGCCTTTGAGATGTGGGTTTTTCGAAGAATGCTGAAGATCTCTTGGACAGAGCACGTGACCAACAACGAGGTGCTAAGAAGAATGGGTACTGACAGAGAACTCCTAAATATTGTAAAAAACCGAAAAACGAGTTATTTAGGACATATCTACAGAGGAGAAAAATACAACTTCCTACGACTTATAATGGAAGGGAAAGTGGAAGGAAGAAGAGGTCCAGGAAGAAGAAAATGCTCCTGGTTGAAGAACATAAGAGACTGGACAGGCATGGACACACATGCGATACTAAGAACAGCTCAAGATAGAGAGCAATTTGCTGTAGTTATAGCCAACCTTCAGTAATGGAGAAGGCACCTTAAGAAGAAGATATTTTTTATTTTGTTTTGGTCTTTTTTTATATTAATTTGGTTTGGCCTATTTTTTTTATTTATTTGTTTTTTTTTTCTCTCTTTTTTCTTCCAATTTTTTTTCAATTTTTCGTATTAAAAGGTTTATTACATGATTGATATGTTCGCAAATTGCTTACAAATTTTATCTTAATTCTAGGGTTAGTACATTATATTGTTTAAAATTTATATTTACAATTTCTTATTAACTGATAAAAAAATTATAAATTTCTAAGTTTCCAGAGAAAATTATTCATTTATGTGAATGGGAAACACACATTTAGTTTTCGTAAGTTTTCATAAGAACATGTAATATTCCCTTGTTGGTTTCCACATTCTAATACGAATATGTGTTAAATCTCCATATTTACCACAAGTAAAGTTTGGAGTGTCAGCTAGATCCATTTTGTACATTCTTGAAGGTGTTAGAGCATGATTTGACCTTAGCTTATTAATAGTTTTAATAAAACTTCTGTTGGACTCTGAATAAAACCACCTTTTTTTAAGAAGTGTGGGTTGCCAATATTTAAATGATGACTGTCTTTCGGTTTCCGCATAATTGGCTTGCCATTTTAATTTAAGCCGTTGTTTACTATATACATCTATATCTAACACCGGTAGAATATTGTTGACTATGGTTTCTCCGCTTGATAATGCTTCTTTTGCCAATACATCTGCTATTATATTACCCTTTATCCCAGAATGGCCTTTGATCCATGCGATAATAACTTCTCCTCCGAGCTTTGAAACCTCGTAGTACAATTTTAATATCTCTATATCAAGATGAGTCATTTGCTTGGATTTATTTGTTTCACATAATCTTTCTACTGCATTTTTACTGTCTGTAAATATTACACAGTTCTTCATTTACTTTGTCAAAACGTGAGAAAGAGCAAACTTTAAACCCAGCATTTCGGATGTGTAGATGGAGGCTTCATCAGGTAATTTATATTTATGATGTTGTCCAGAATACTGTTGATATACTGCGCAAGCAGTGTTATTTCCCTTTTTTGAACCATCGGTAAACATATAATAATAATTAGGCCATCTCTTCTGAATTTCTGCGTTAAACATGGGGCCTTGGACATCATTGAGAAATTCTGTCTTGATTTTTATTGAGAACAGTACATGAGGTTTTTCAGTAAAACTGGTGGAATGTGACCCTTATAAAGTACTTCTTTAAATTTAAAAAGATTTCTGTAGCTTTCCGCCACGAGTGGAGATTTTTTTCTTAAACCAATACCTTTTAGTCAATCTAAAACAGCCAGATTGTGTATATCTTTGAGAAATACTTGGTCTCTGCTATTGGTACGAGCTATATATTTGTCGGTAAGATACTGCCTCCGTAAATTCAATGGCGGTTCAACAGCTTCAATTTCCATTACATTAATTGGTGTAGATTTCAGATATCGAAGGCACAAGCGTAGGCACTTATTTTTCTGTATCTCAATTTTTGTTAAATGAGTGTTCGATGCATTTCCATACAAGTGACAGCTATAATCGAAAACTGGTCGTATCATAGATCGATAAAACATTAAACTAATGTTGGGATCTGCACCCCAGTTTGTTTTACAGAAAGCTCTTAGGATATTCATAGCTTTTTCGGTTTTTTTAATGATATGTTGAATATGATCTTTCCACAAAAGTTTTCTGTCTAAATAAGTTCCCAGGTATCTGACACAATTTTTAATTGGAAATTTGAATTGACCACAATTTATATACTCTTCTGGAGTTCTATGTTTTCTAGAAAAGAAGACGATTTCTGTTTTGGATTCTGATAATGTTAATCCATTTGATTCATAAAATGCATGTATTGACGAAATAGCTGTTGTTAAATTATTTTTAGAAACATCAATTGATTTGTCTGATGAGTAGAGTACCACATCATCTGCATATTGTAGTATTTTGGTGTTAATAGGAACAATGACTTCTAAATCTATATTATATAAAATATATAAAAGTGGACTTAAAATACTTCCCTGCGGTAGTCCTATATTAGACAGTCGAGGAGAAAAAATTTTCTCATTGATTTTTAAGTAAATCAATCTGTCTGAGTACAAAGTTTTCAAAAAGGATGTTATACCTATAGGTATCCCGACTGACAATAACTTTTGTTCAAGGATATCCAAATTTATATTATCAAAAGCAGATGATACATCCAGAAATGCAGCTGCAGTAGATGAGTTTTCCGTGAAATTGACTTGAACTGTTGTTACGAAAGCAGTTATGGCATCTTGAGTGGATTTATATTTACGAAAACCAAATTGGGAGTTTGGAAGAATATCATTAAATTCTAACCAATGTTCTAATCTATTTTTAATTAGTCTTTCCAGGGTTTTTAAGAAGACAAGAAGCTAGAGATATTGGGCGATATGAATTGTGATCGTCATCACGTTTGCCAGGTTTCCTTATAGGTATTATAATATACTCCTTCCAGCTTTCAGGAATTGGTGCTTGTTTCTGCCAAATATTATTTAAAATATTAAGTAGATAGATTTTATGTTCATTTGTAAGATTAGAGATCATGGAATAAGATATATTGTCTTTACCAGGAGCAGTATTATTATTTTGTTTGAGGACCCTTCTTAGTTCCCATAGATAGAATGGACGATCTAAGCTAAGGTTATCTCTAGAAACAGTGGCTATGGAGTTGTTAATGTCATTCGGAACCCAATCTGGTGGAATTTTTTGGTAAAAATCTGATATCCATGGTTCGTCTGGGTCAATACATAAATTATTGGATTGTTTGCGATTTTTGAAGCAATTAACTTTCCTCCATACCTCCTTAATGGGAGTATTTTGATTTAAATTTTCACAATATTCCCTCCAGTTTTTCCTTTTCTTCTCCTTAAGGGTTTTCTTCGCTAATGCGTCCATCTTTTTATATTCTATATGCCGGTAAGACATGGACATTAAATAAGAAGGAAGAGGATACTCTGGAAAGATGGGAAAGAAAAATATTGAGACGCATATTCGGAGGACGGAAGACAGAAAATGGTTGTGAGAGAAGAACCAACAATGAATTAATGGCTTTATACAAAGAACCTACCATTACCAGTTCGTCAAGGCACAAAGAATCAGATGGTTGAGACATGTGGAAAGAATGGCAGCAAACAGAATGACTAAACTAGTAATAACCAGAAAATTAATCGGCCCCAAGAGAAGAGGTAGACCCAGAACGAGGTGGATTAGTAAAGTGGAGGATGACCTTAAACACGTGAAGGTGAGGGACTGGAAAGAAAAGCACAAAATAGAAGAGAATGGAGAAATTTTGTACACAAAGTCCTTCAGAGTAGTTAAGAATGTTGTATATACATATTTAAGTTAAAGTTTTATTTAAAATAATTTTAATCAGGTAATATTAGGATTATGTTGTAAAAAAATGCTCTAGGCCTTAACGGCCTGTTGTGCATAAAAATAAATAAAATAAGATCTTTTTGAGAATTTCTGACAGTCTTCATTACAGTTTTTAGATTACTTTCACTTATCCCGAGTGCGTGTCAAACGCATCGATTTATATATAATAATGACTTTAAAGGTCCACCATTGTCTCTTTTCATGGTAAAGTATGTATGCATATTTGCAATTAATTCATTAATATCCAACTTACGTTTAAGTATAAGGGTCACTTGAAATTACAAGTTTGAATTACAATATACTGAATTTAGATCAATATGACAAATACTTTTTAACTATTGTGCTTGAGAGGCAAAATATAATATAACTGGTTACAAAGATTCTAAACACATTAAGAAAATTAGCCCAATAATCATTAAAAATGCCGATTGTAATTTAATATTTGATACAAAGTTTAAAAATGATTGGAAAACGTACATAAACAAATTAAAATGTTTCCCACAATTATTTTATTTTTGATATGTGTTTTCATTTGCAAATAAAAAGTTATATATTTACCAAAACCCTAACTTTAAGCCGTAATTACAGACGTCTCAAAAACGGTACACTCTAAGTGAGAGCGCCCACCAAAGTGGCGTGACACGTGGCAAGTGGCAAGTAGCACGCGTCTAGTAATGTAACCAATGAAAATAAATGATTCAGCGCACACCAAAATGACAGTGACGTCATTCATTCTAGTCATTCGTTTTCATTGGTTACATTTTAAGAAACATGCTAGACGCGTGCTACTTGCTACGTGCTACTTGCCACGCCAGTTTTTTGGGCGCTCTCCCTTACAGACATATGGTCAATCTAACCACCACTATTTAAATTGACAAAATGTTCTAGTTTACTCCGTTAAGTATTTTTTATCAAAGTGATATTTTAGTACTTTGTAAATCTACTTTAAATGTATAAATTATCCTTAGTACGGTAGTATTTGTTTCAGAAAATATTACTAAACAAGTAAGTGAAAGAAATTTACGTTAAATAATATTATGCAAGAATTCTTTTTATTAAAAAAAATGTAACAAAAGATGCAAAACTATGAACAACGGGTTAATGACACATATATTTATTTTATACCTAAAATTTAGCAAATTGTTAAGCATTACGGAGAACACCAGTGCAGTTTACCATGCCTTTTACTACAACGAAAAGTTTTCTGCGAATTCCATTAATCGTTTAGAGGCGTAAGTTGGTTGAATGTACTTTAACTAAACACATAAAGGTTAATAAGTAAGAAATACATCATTCTAATTTTGTAATGGAATATATAGTTGAAAAACTTAAAGATTAAATATTTTTAAATTAGTTAGTGATAAAAATGGCATATAAAAAGAAAGAAGGGCTACTTACGGATTAGTTGAAGAAAGAATAAACATGCTAGAGTACGGCAGCATCGGTTTCGGGCCCACAATCTCTTCCTCTTCGGCTTTTTCCTCAACCTTTTTCCTGGACTTGACGGGACTAGAAAGACCTGCATCCAATTTGAGACCGCCCTCCATTTGAAGGGCTTCCATTTCTTTTTCTAGTTCCAGCGCCTGCTTCTCCTTGTTTTCTTCCGCTTGTTCTTCTTCTGCCGCCGTCAGCTCCTGGGCGTTGGCCAAGTTGTCGACGGCGATGGCAAGAAAGACGTTGAGGAGGGTGTAGTTACCGAATAACATAAGAACTATAAAATAAAGGGAGTATATCATGGCGACGTTCGGACCACCAAGAGCGTTGATTCCGTGGTACATGACTTCGTTCCAGTCCTCACCGGTCAGTATCTATAACGGATAAAAGAGATAGTTTTTAAATAGATATCTAATGTTCTAATATCAGAGGATTGCGTTATTGTGACAAATGGAGTTTTCAAATTTTGGCAAAAACTGTACGTAGTAGAATTTTTTTAAAGCATTCAAATATGTCATCGATTATCCTTGCATTTAAATTTAAAATTTATAATAAAGAAGCTTACACAGGAAAATAGCAGCGGTAAAACTTTTATAAATTATTATTTGCTTATTATTATTAGCACGATTTATGTTTTTTCACGACATTGTTTTATTGACCATACAACACAATGGCAATCGCTGTGACTAGTTACACGTTTCCACCTCTATATTTATTTTACAGTGTACGAATTGTCGTAATTTTGACATTGACATTAGAAATTTTAAACGAAGTTCTGAAAGAATAAACAAATAATTAATAAAATGCCTATTACGTTGTATACCGTCCAAGAAAAACTAAAAGTTGTAACATGGTACTTTCAGGGTCATTCGAAAAGCGAAGTAATTGATTTAGTTATTGTTGCCTTCAAAAATAGACCCCCACCAAGTGTTACAACAGATAAAAATACCATTACATATTTTCAAACTTCGGGATGTGTGAACAGTTGTAAAAAGTGTCATGAAGATAATGAACCACGTGTTAGACCTCTCGATAAGGAGCGTCAAAACAGGGATATCGATATTTGTCATGGACGTATAAACACAGATGGACTCAGTTATTTACATAAAATTGTGAAGTCAAATTATTTGAATAGGTCACATTCTCAGCACCTTCAACTGTTGTCACGTTTTGTTTTAAAATTTCTTATTCGCGAGTCGCTGAAAATATTACTCCGTATTTTATACTCTACAGGTTCTATCAAATCAAAATAATAATTTATTGGTTAGATTAATATATTTAATTGTAATCAAAATATAAAGTGTGCATATAGTGTGCATTATCATTTAATAATAGCGTATAATAGATATCGATCAAATATTTTATATGTAGAAGCACTGAAAACTATTTATAAATGGCAACGGTTGTTTACATTTCTCTGTCTTATGGATCTACGTCAAACTTCAAATGCTGTTCCATGTTTGTTTACTTTTTAGTAAAAGTTGTTTTTCGATATTTTGGCTGTATTTTGAGTGATATTTGTGAAAAGTGAAATAAAATAAACAAAATATTTACATCCCGATCTCTCATTTCATTTGTAAGTACATACAATTTACACTATTTAAGATGAGGAAATGAGGAAGCATGTTTGTTTACATTTTAATAGGCGTACCATTGGGTTTATTCATGTTCATTAATGTATTAAATAAGATATATAAGTTCATGAAATTAGTAGACATTTTTAAATTGTAAGTAGACATCATCTGATTAAAAAAGATTTATTTAGTACCTTTTTAATCTAATATTTCTCATGGATGCAAATAAATTAGTGAAATGAATAAAACTCATTTATTTTTTCACGTAGGTTTCCAAATAATATTGACGATCGAACTATTTTGGTAGCAAATTTAGGAGAAAACATAAAGATTTTTTATTGTAGCATTATTTTGATACCTATTAAATATTAACTTAAATTCAACTATATTTTATTGTATTAATTTTAAAGCAAATAAAATTGTATTTTAATTTTTCTGTAAAGACGTGATTTGTTAATAGTTAATCTCTCGATTTTTAAAATTCTTTGAACGTGTTTTTATACAATATTACTACTTTCAATTTTTAAAATCTGAATAATTACCCGCGAGTAAAAATTCAAGCACGCTTATGCTCATTGCGGAAGCATCACATTCTATCAAAGCTTCAAAACATTGTGTGTTAAAGGTATCTTATTTCTGTGTTCATCTATGTTTATACGTCCATGATATTTGTACTTTTGTGGAAACTAGTGAACCTTACAATAGTGTAGAAATATCTAGTGAAGTTAACGTGAATGCTCGAACTGTCTAGCGAGTACTCAAAATGAATGGGTATCACTGTTTTAAGATACAACCAACACAAGTACTGTTTAAAAATGTACAGTTTTTTAAAAATAATTTATTTTCTGATGAATTTTTATTTTCATTATATAAAAAACACAATCCATTTGTTGCAAGGTATTATTTTTTTAAAAATAAACACCTTAGTGTTACTGCGAACGCAGCATCCGCAAAAGTTAAATGTTTGGACTGGGATGTTAGGCGACCATATTGTCGGTCCATTTTTATCGATGGAAAAATAAACAGGCCCAAATATTTACAACTTTTATAGAATGAGATCATTCCGGCAGTTCGATGCCTTCCCGTTAATTTTCAAGAAGTTTATTTCCAACAGGATGGGTGTTTGGCTTACAACTCTAGAGCAACTATTGATTTCCTAAATTAAGCGTTTCCTGATCGACTGATAAATACACGTGGTACAATTAAATAGCCCGCTAGATCCTGTGACTTAGCGCCTAACGATTTCTTTTTTAGGGGTTTTCTCAAAGAAAAAATTTATGGGCATCAGTTTGAAAGGGCCACAAACCTAGTCGAATTAAGTGCAAAATACTTCATTTCTCTGCAAGCATTACACCAGCCCTACTCCAAAATATGAGGAGAAATTTGTATGACAGATTTGGTTACTGTTTAGCACAAGGAGGTGGAATATTTGAGCCCTTAATTCATTAATCTGCTTTCCTAATTTTTATTTTGTGTTAGGTACATTTTACGAAGTTTGTAGGTTTTTAATTAGGTAGTATTTGTTATATTTAACTTTGGAAGAAATTTATTGTTTTTTCTTTATTTAAAAGTACAAACTTATTGTGATTTTTTTTCTTTTTCTTGTCATAAACTTTGTCCATAAAATTTGTACAATTTTCAGTGACAATAAAGCATATTACTTATTTACTTATTTATTTGTATTGCTATTAAGGGTAAAAAATATCCAAAACATTAGTTTTAGAGCATTATAAGAAATATACTCTAGAGATGGGATTGCAATAACTCTTAATTCCTATGGTCAACAAAACAATGTCGTTGAACATTGTTGAAACAATAAGAATGTAAAATCATCGACCTTCAGATCATGTAAAACTTTCAAAAGACTGATATTGTTTTGTACACACAAAAGACTGATATTGTTTTGTACACACTTATGTAAAACTACTACACACTTATGTACACACTTATGTAAATCTACTAATGTAAAACTTTGTTTGTAAAATACTAATATTATTATAGTTGTAATAATAAAACACTGAAAACTTTGTTTTCAAACTTCCACAAAATTTATTTTAACTATTATCACTACAGCTGTTTCGGCTGATTGCCTTTCTCAAGTGATATATTTTTGGCATGCGTTTTACAATTATAGTCTCTAATGAAATAGGTTGAGGAGGGGAGAACTGTTTGTCTCAAGTTGGTCATTCAGAATTATATCTGTGTTTTTTAATTTGTTGATTTCCATAGATTCTAACAGAGATAGCTTAAGGCCTTTATTTTGAATGTGAAGAATTTTAAATTTGTCATTAAAAGAATGGTTAGGATCTAGAAGGTGAAGTGCGTATGTCGAATCTGTTTTTCTATTATTGAAAGCCCTTTTATGTTCTGCTATTCGTTTATTTAAGTTTCTACCAGTTTGACCGATGTAAGTTTTTGGGCAGTCGCCACATTGAAGTTTGTATAGGTACACCACTATTCAAGTGTTTTTTATTTTGGCTCTTTTTATTTTTAATATATTTGCCAAGGTTGTTATTTGTTCGGAAAGCTGGTGTTATTCCCTAAGAAAGCTTCCTGTTATTTTGCCTGTATATGTAATCGAGCAGAAGGTACTGGGTTTTTTCTCTGGTCTGCAAGCAAATTAAGAGAGAGATCAAGGAAGATACTGATCCACAATCAACAGGTCTCATTAAATTATCCTGTCTCATCTTCGGTAAGGACACAGCAACCTTACTCATGAATATCTCATTACGCATACCCAATATGACAGTTATTCTTAACCTTCAAACCGATGTAAACCTCTGTTCCAATTCCTTAAAGAATATTACTTAGCAAGTGAGGTATAATGCATCTAAATTCATAGTTAACGCGAATATTTTTTGAATAAAAATAAATGAATGCTTTATAACCATTATAAAGAACGATATGTATCAAAGATAGATGATTTAATACCAAATGAAGAACACATCTAACACACGAGTATAAAAATAATTCAGATAAGTAGCATTAACGAAAAAGACAAATTGAATGTAGTTTTAAGAAAAAGCAGCAATAAATACACATTTGACAGATGAAGATGTAATAGGAATAGGTGAAATGGATATATAAGGCCTAAAAGAAACTCTTGTGGCAATAACTAATAAAAAATAAGATTAGATGGCTTAAACACAGTATTAAAGAGATTTGGTAGCCTCATGTTGCAATTTTGGATACTGTACCCATTAAATATATCAATAAGCCTTCTTTATAGTGCTTATAAAATGTATGTGAGAATTTTAAATAACAAAACTAAAAAATAACAGCAAAAGCACACATGAGATTTTGAAATGACAGATTGACTATTGATAGAATATTTATACTAAAACAGATAATAAAAACACAAGTTTGCTTAGAAAAGCTATCTTATAACGCAGATTAAAATATTTCATATATATATATATATATATATATATATATATCTATATTATATATATATATATATATATATATATATATATATATATATATATATGAAAAAAGAAAAAATAGAAAAAATTGCACAAGCCAAATGGAGATGGGCTGGACATATAGCACGTTTAAATGATAATAGGTGGACCAAAAGACAAAATAGAAGATAGAATGGAGACCTAGAGAAGACAAAAGACACCGAGGTAGACCACCAAAAAGATGGATGGACGACTTGAGAAAAACAGTCGGAAATTGGATACAGAAGGCGCAAGATAGTGTCTCCGGAGGCGTGTCAAGCAGAAGCTGGCCGCCGTGCCGGACGCATTTAGAAATTCGGAGAAATACTTGGAAATTCCAAGTGTGGGCAAATCCGAATTTCTAATTGACTCGATGTAGGGAAATTCCACTTTTACTACGTAAAACAAAGGATTTGTTTTTATATAAAAGCAGACGAATTTCTCTCATCGGTCAGTCGAGCTTGCCTCTTCTTCTGTAGACCTAGTCGGTGCTATTATTGTTCCAACTAAGTTATTGTTTTATTTCTGATTTCCTATATACCATTTTTTTTTTAGCATTATTGTATATTCAGACCTTTTCAGGTTAGAATATTACACATTGTTCTTGTACTTATTGTTTGATATTTTATTTGATTATTTTGATTGATTATTTTCTTGTATTTGTATCTAAGCTGTTCTTTCCGGTAAGTCAAAGAACTCTTAGAAATATTGCTTTGCTATTTTATTCGACTTGTTAAGTTGTGTGTGTCTAAGTCGTTCTTTTCCGGTGAGTCAAAAGAACACTTAGAAGTATTTTCATATTTGCATTATTATTTCTGATACTTTTATCTAAGATATTATTTCATATTATTGACTATTTTATTTTCTATTTTTTGTTAAGTTGTTTCTTCCGTAAGTCAAGAAACACTTAGCAATATTTTCACATCTTTTCTGTATTTGATTTTCTTGTTTCTATTATAAGTTGTTCTTTCCGTAAGTTAAGAAACACTTATAAATATTTGTACATCTATTTTACCATATTCTCTTGTTATTTTCTGCTCTGTTGTTTTCTTCCGTAAGTCAAGAAAACACTTAGACATATTTCTATAATCTATTTCCCTTTTGCATTTCTTGTTTTTATACTTTGAATGTTTTATTTTCTAAGCCGTTTCTTCCGTAAGTCAAGAAACACTTAGAAATATTTCCATATTTTATTCTCACATTTGCATATTTTCACTTTCTATTATATTTCTGTCCTAAGTCAAGAAACACTTAGGAGCATTTACCTTGTATTATATTTTATACCGTTTGATTTTATTTTGATTTACTAAGCTATTCCTTCCGTAAGTCAAGGAATACTTAGATTATTGTACCTGTTCTGTTTTCTATCTTTGATCCGTTATTTCGCAACCGTTCCTTGGAACTGTTACCTATAACCGATACTTGTCACGGTAACTGTTACTTTATACCAGTAGCGATTATTAACCCATTTCACCAGCGACAAACGAAGATGGTAAACACCCGTTCCAATTCCGGAGACAGGAAAAAGTCCGAAGAGCCGGCGATGGGTCCTACAGGCCCAAATGCCCCCTCTCGGCAACAATAGAGAACAGTGGAAGAACATGGAGGAGACCTATATCCAACAGTGGATGCAAGAGGTTGAGGAATGATGATGATGATGATGATGAATGATATATATATATATATATATATATATATATATATATATATATATATATATATATATATATATATATATATATAATATGTGGAATAAATGAGATATCCAAGGTGTCCGATCAATAAAACCAAAGTATAATTTTTCGAGAGAAAAATAATATGCGATATTAACGGAATAGAAACAAGGGAAATCAACTAAAAGAGTAAGACAGGCCAGCCTTATTTCTTTAAATTATTTATGTAAATAACATCATATCATTATGGAAATCAAATATGATGAAGGAATTATGCTTTTTAAAAATATTAATTTCAATTGGTTGTTTGATTGTTTAACCAAAATAATACAATGTATCTCTATAAAACCGAAATGTTCTTAAATAAATAAGGATTTTTCAATATTTCCATTTTTGTATATACATCATTTTTACATTGAACAAACATTTGACTTTGCACGATAAAGTGAATGCCACATTCTAAACACTTTTTCCTACTTTAATAAACTCTCAAATAGTAATAATACTCCAGACTACAGACTAATTCGCAATAATAGAACAACCTACCTAAAGAAAACAACAAAAGCTATTATCAATAAAACATCTCTTCCTGTTGACATAAAACAATCTCTAATCCCTCGTGAAAAGTTTCCTAAAACACGTCGAATACAGGGCCTACATAAAATTCACAAACCCGATATTTCTCTATGCCCCATTGTCAGTGCATACAACTGCCCTACACACCCATTGGAAAAGTAATTGGCCAAACCTCTACAACCTCTCATCCACCTCTACAACCTCCGAAAATGATTCATCCTTCGTCAAAAATTTTTTTCATTTCATCGAACTTCTTAAACAATACCCGATCTTAAAGTTAGAGATTCTAGTAAGTTTCGATTACATTTCACTCTCTACAAATATTCGAGACGAAATTCTAAACATTTTGAAAACTAAATACAGTATCCAGCAAAACCACTTATCTCTTATTAAACATTGTATATCTACTACTTACTTCAACTTTCAAAATCAATTTTACAGACAAATAAATGGTACCCCAATTGGCTCCCCACTGTTTCAGTAATTACCAATATCTTTATGGAAGAGCTCGAGATCCGAGCACTATCCACATCAACACTCAAACCCACTGTTGGCTACGATATGTTGACGATATATTCGTCATTGGCCCCATGGCAGGAATGCTTAGGTGTTTTTTCAAACCCATCTGAATGGTATACATCTTAGTATTTAATTCACGCTGGAGGTGGAAACTGATATATCTCTACCGTGTATGGACGTTATTATAAATAAAAACCAGGCACAAGGTTTTGATCACCCTGGTTATCGAAAAACCACCCATACCAATCGTTACTTGCATGGTATCTCTCATCATCCACCTTCACAAATTAATTTAGTCATTAATACCCTTATATCTAGATCAATCAGCCTTTTCGATAATACAAGTAGACTTGCTGAGCTCTCCAATTTAAAAACCACCAAAATCACATTAATAGGAGCATCAACAGACATCAATCTCTTACTTAATTTCAACCCAAAGAGTCAGGCTCTCATCATACAAAAGTTTTTGTTCCTCCAAAGACAACATTCTACCCCCTCTGTGGCTCAGTGGTAAGAGCGCCTGCTTTAAACCTAAAGGTCGTGAGTTCGAGTCCCACCTGGGTGGAAATTTTCGTTTATTAAAAAAAATTAATAAATGAAAATAATTTCTATCCTTGTGTGATCGGTACACACGGAGGGACCGCAGACGTTCGGATACAATTAGCGTCTCTTAGCAAAGACAATGACATCGACTTTGCTAAGTATCAAGACAATTACTCTACACACACAAACACACACACACACACACACACACACACACACACACACACACACACACACACACACACACACACACACACACACACACACACACACACACACACACTACATTAATAAACTTATCTTGATTGAGACTGGCTGAATGACAATTGTCCAAGCCAAAAACACACACAAAAAAGACAACATTCTAAATGAACAACACGGAGTTTATGCAGTACTACACAATTCCTCGTGTAGACTGCCCCCGATCCTACATAGGCCAAACAAATCGTAGAATCCAAACTAGGATTTATTAATATTTCATTTCTGTTCACAATTACGATTCAATTTCAGCTCTAGGTCAACACCATCTTTATACAGGTCACAAAATTGATTTTGAAAACTCCAGAACCATAGCCCCCCTCCACTTCTATACACCAATAATTATTCGAGAAGCCATAGAAAGGAAAAAACGCCAAATTATCTCAATAAAAGAGATGATGACATACGGTTACCTTTTACATGAAAACCCCTTATAAGAAAAATATCGTTTAATCCATGAGGTCTTGAGAGATTAGGATCTCGAAAGACCTGAAGAAGACATCAAATAGGTTGTCGAAAGTTCGGCGCAATGATAATCGACGCTTTTCAACCCGGTAGACTAATTCAACCCGGCAGAATAATTCTTATAATGATGTTTATCTTAATTCTAGATTTATTTTAACTTTTCATGATATTTTGGTTTTTTTTAAGAATGAGACCGTATTATTTAATTCGAAATGCATTCAAATCTTTAAACTTATTTTTTCCCAGTTTATACCAGGCTTTAGATAATATAGTAATATTGCAATAGAAATGCAGTTTTGATATAGTGATCTCCGTTTCCTTTATCAGAAACTGATTCCTTAAAATATGTTTATTTGTTTAGTTCTACTTATTTAATGATGAATTTTGGTTTAGTTGTTGTGTATTTGCTGCATGTTTGTTTAAAAAGGAAGTACTTACCTGGAACACAGTCAACAATGCGATAGGAAAAGTATTAAAGTTGGCATTGGGAGTTCCGGATTCAAAGTTGAACTGTCCTCCGAAAAGCTGCATCCCAAGTAGAGCGAAAATGAGGATAAACAAGAACAGAAGGAACAACAACGAAATGATCGATCGCATTGAATTGAGCAATGATATTACAAGATTGCGCAGCGATGACCAATATTTTGTCACTTTGAATATCCTTAGGAGCCTCAAAGCTCTCAGTACCGATAATCCGAACGAACCACCTTTTAGTCCCGACCAAATAACTTCGAAAATGGAACCCGTTATCACTACACAATCGAATCTGTTAAAAGCTGACTCGAAATATATTCTTGGTCCCAAGGCGTACATCTTTATAAACATTTCTGTCATAAATAGACCCAAGAAAACGAATTCGGCGTAAACTGAAACAAAAAAAAGTGTTAGTAAACGTATAGACAATAAAAATGTACCTACATTATTTTAAGAATTATTTCATACATGATAATTCAACCTAATTTTAAATAACATAGTATATTTCTATTTAAAAAATACTTTATTAGTAATACAAATCCGTTTCTCTTTTATTGCTGTAGGTATTAACTATTTTAGTAATAGATGGTAGATTTTGGATTTTAAAGAGATTGTTTAACCCCGTAGACTTTTCAATATTATGACCCGTAAGATATTTTGTGTATATCTTAAGTTCTCGTAAAGTCGGGGGTACACGCATGATTTACCACGATGGCGCAGGTTAATTGCAAATCTCATCGAAGTTCTGATAAAATCGAAAACGAAAAACGAAATGTAGGACAAAAATGTGAAGAAATAGACAGATATATGGGTAAAATGAGGGTATCCTAAGTATGGATGGTTTTAGGAAACCTAAGAAAATATCCCAAAAGAACAACGAGATTAAACCCCATAAGTATATCAGAGTTGAATCCCTATTAACGGAAGCAAAACTATATTGCGAACTAAATGACAGAGACTTCAGAACAGATCCAATACAATACAAAAAGAAATGTAAAAATTACACAAGTGTAACCAATGTTAGCTGATTGGGGAGGTTGTACAAACGAATCGAAATGATTCCTTTAATGACAAATTTCAAATTCTTCACATTCAAAATAGCTAACTAAAGCTATATTTACTAAAATCTATAAAAATCATCAAATAAAAAAATACAGACATAATTCTGAATGACCAACTTGAGACAAACAGCTGCCATCCTCAACTTATTGATTTAAGGACTATTAAGTATAAAGGTTGTTGTTCTATGTTGTTTTATGTTCTATGATTCTTACAAAAACATAGAACAAAATAAAGTCCTGATTCATCATTGTTGAAAAATGGACATGCTCCACGACAAAGATCCCCACTAAAACTTGCAAAATTACACCGGCGGAAAAGGCAAAATGTGCCAATTGCCAATTGCTAGAAAAAGTATTCAGCCAACTAGAGAAGACCTCAGTGGCAACAAGTCCCACCAAAGAGGCCACAACAGCAGACAAGACAAACCGGGCTGTCATATTCACAAACTTCAAGGAGCAGCCAAGAGGCGGAAAACAAAAACACGCTAACGCGGGGTATACTTGAGGAAAGGCTCTTGGAACCCAGGCAGATAAAAACCAACCAAAATATTTTAGACGAACTGGTAAATTGATATGGAATAGATATCGTAGCAATACAGAAAACTAAGCTAAAGAACACCATAAACCTAAAATTTCCAGGCTACGATATCTATAGAAACGACAACACAGAAATATCAGAAGGCACAGCGGTTCTAATGAGAAACGAGATAATTAATACTAGAATCCTAACCTCTCAACCAACTACTATGAAGGCAGCAACACTAATCGCATTGCAAATAAGGCAAGAATACGTCAGGATCCGCCTATGTAGACCAACGCGTTCCTAAGTATAGCCGACAACAAATAATTATAGGAGACCTAAATGCAATATCCTCAAATTGGAATGATAGAGCTACGAACAGAAACGAAAGACTACTAAACAATTAAATAGTTAACAATGACGACTCATAGCAATGGGACCGTTTAATCCAAGACACTTGGACCTCGGACTACAAACAGAAATTCAAATACTAAATTAAGAAACAGCAGACCACAACCGCATACTCCTGGAATAAGGAACATGGTAGGAAAATACCACCGAAAAACAGACAAGGAAGAGAACAATGTGGGCCAGCTATGGCCACTGCCACTGCAATGCGAAACAAATTCTTCTTCTTGATGTGCCTATCCGTTACGAATGATGGCTATCAACATGGCAATCTTCATCTTATCTGCAGCGGCGAGGAAAAGCTGCACAGATGTTGTATTGAGCTAAGTTTTGAGGTTCTTTAACCAAGATGTTCTTCTTCTTCCTGGACCTCGCTTTCCAAATATTTTTCTTTGAAGTATGACTTGAAGGAGAGGATATCTGGATTCATTTGGCATAATATGTCCTAAAAATTATAACTTTCGAGATTTGATGGTGATCAGTACCTCTCGGTTCTTATTCATTCTTCTGAGGACCTCCTCATTTGTGACTCGGTCTGTCTACGGGATCTTAAGTATTCTCCGATATAACTACATCTCAAATGCTTCCAATTTTCTGCACATCTTTGTTCAAGGTCCACGGTTCAACACCATAAAAAGGACAGAGAAGACGTGACATCACTGCATTCTTACTTTTGTATCAAGAGAGAGGTTGTGACTCTTAAAGAAGGCCCCTCGTCCGATTGAAGGAGGATCTAGCTTTTCCGATGCGTGCTCGAATCTCTTGGTTGTTGGTCCATTCTTCATTTATTTTGGTGCCGGGCTAGTTGTAGTGCGTCACTCTTTCTACAGGGGATTGGTTAACATAAAGTTGACCTTCTGTTATCTTTTTCTTGCTAATTATCATAAGCTTTGTCTTATTAACGTTTATATTGAGTCCATACTGTTGACTGTAATACGTGATTTTGTTTATAAGAACTTGTTAGTCTTCTAAGTTGTCCGCAATTACTATGGTGTCATCTGCATATCTGATATTGTTTAGCCGGTAACCATTTAGTAGAATACCTTTTTCAGTTTCGTGCAAAGCTTCGATAAATATTCTTTCAGAGTACAGATTGAACATTAGAGGAGACAAAATACAGCCTTGCCTCACTTTACGCATGATGTTCATATAGTCAGTGTGTTTACCTTCAACCCTGAGATGTACTGTCTGATTCCAGTAAAAATTTCTAATTATATTCAGATCTTGGTTGTTAATTCCTGCTTCTTCTAGTATTTGCATCATCTTGGCGTGCTGTACTCGATCAAACGCTTTCTCGTAATAAGGCAGACATACATCTCTAGCACCAACAGCATTTTTGAACCCAAACTGGTTGGGCGAAATTTGTCGTTCACATAGCTTGTAGGTTCTCTTATGAATTATCTTTAGGAGCAATTTTAGCAGATGACTCACGAGCCTTATAGTACGGTAGTCTTCGCATTTTTTGGCTCCTGGTTTTTTGGAAGTGCAATAAACTCAGATTTCAGCCATTTTTAGTATTTCTCCAGATCTGTATATGTTGTTGAATATCTTTGCGATTATTGCTATTGATTCGTTGTGAATTAGTTTGAGTAGTTATGCATGTACATTATCAGGGCCTGCCGCTTTGCCATCCTTTAACTGTGTTATTGCGGATAAACTTCCTGCTGTAATATTCTTGGTCCATCATTTACCTCTTCTTCTAGCTCAAAGGTGTTATCTCTTTGGTCACCAAATAGTTTTTCTAGGTATTCTTACCACTTTCTTATTTTACTCTGTTTGTCCAAGATGATGTTTCCATCATAATCAGTTATATTTTCTTTCTGCCTTCGTCGTAGTCCCCTATGAATTCTTTAACTTTTCTATATACATTGTGACTATCGTACTTTAACTCCCGAGTCTTAATTTCTTCGCATTTTCCCTTGCTTCTTTTTCTTTCACTTCTCTGATTTTCGTTCTTATTAATATATTTATGGTTTTATATTTGTCATTTTTTACTTTTCTTCTCTCGTGTATTAGTTTCAGGATCTTATTTGTCATCCATGATTGTTTCTGCATTCATTTATCTCTCTGTTTTAAATTTTTTATCCTTTATATTTTGCACTATTTCTGTAATATGTTATTGTTTGTACTTCATTCGATTCGTCTCTAATCACAGTCACCTCTTGGTTTAAAGTGGCTTGGACTCTCATCCTCGTATCAAGGTCTTTCGACATACGTAGGTCGTATGATTGTGCTTTTCTTTTCTGCACTGTTTTGAGTTTGACTCGAAATACTCACATCAGTGAAACGTGGTCTGTCTCCAAGTCTGCTCCAGGATAAGTCTTGACAGATATAAAGCTGTTTCATAATCTTTTATTTACTAAAATGTAGTCTATTTGATTTCTAATAATTCTCCCGGGTGTGTCTTGAGGGTATTTTCAGCTTGCAAGCTGGTAATTAAAAGAATGTGTTGGTGGCAACTAGTTCTGAGTCTTCTGCGAATTTTTCTAGAAGGTCCCTTCTCTCGTTTCTGACTCCGAGTCCATGTGCTCCAATGTACTGTGTCTTATCTCCAGCTTCAATCTTGGCATTAAAATCGCTCATAATGATGAGAACTTCTTGTCGAGGGATTTTCTGTATAATACTGTTGATGTTCTGATAGAACTTAATTGCTTCTTCCTCCTCTTTGTCTTCAGTGGAAGCATGGACTTGGATGATAATTATGTTAATAGGGGTGGCTTCTACTTGTAGTAACATCATTCTCTCTGATATTGGTGTAAAGTTAGTAAGGCATTTGGCAACCTTAAGTGATACGATTATTCCGACTTCATATTCATGTGATCCATCCCTTTTTCCCAAAACTAATAACACAACTAAAAAACGGGCGTACTTGCCAGTAGAGGGACAAAAAAACATTCGTAGACCCAGAACCTTTTATTTTCATAGCAAGAAGCAAAGGTAAAAGAGTAATATCGGACTGGGTGAAACTGATCAAACTTAACGATTAGTACGAAAAAGCTGGATCTTAAAACTTTCGAATTCTATTATACATGAACATTCGAAGAAGAGACGAGTTGCATACGTTCTGTGCAACTGCCTTGAGTTTGATAGGATAAGGCTCATTACATTTGAGAATTATCAACTCGAGCTCTACGACTTAGCAGAAGTGTCACCTAAGACTATTTCACACTTTTATAAAACGGCTAGGCTGAAAGGACAACTTTAACCTAGCAAAGAGCCATAAAAGATCAGTAGTTAAGCGATCACGCTTATTGAACCTAACCTAACCTATCACCAAGTTCGTACGTAATGAAACCTAAAAAAATGCGTAAAAAAGCAATTTTTGAAGCAATGTTTTGCCGATTAAAAAAACCCTCTTGGCGTGTAGCGCCAATTTGGACAGTATTTTTGTGTTCTACTGCCCAAATTAGAATCATGTGACAGTCCAGTCATAAAATTTTGTTATTCACTGAATTAATAAAGTTTACTTGGACAATAATGTCTTTTTTATACTTACATAAAAAATGTGTGAGCCATGCCGGTTGGCCGTGATACTCCACAGCAACGCAGATTGTGTTGAACAGTACCAATACGATGACGCACCAGTAAAACCACTGCGTTTTTATGACGTGTCGAATGCAGAATCTAAATCGTTTTTCTGCCCTCCAAAACCTGGCACAGCCACTCTGACCTTGCACTCTAGACTTCAGGTAGGAGGATTTACCGTAACCTGCTAACAGAACTTTTACTTCAACATTGATTATAGTGTACTCGGAATACTTCATTATATAACAGCAATTCCAATACATATGATATTTGCCTATGCAATAATTAGTTTCTTAAATTAAAAACAATATGTATATAATTTAATATTGTTTAATAGTGTTTTCTATTCAATAGACAAATTGCTTTCACAATCAATAAACTCGTAATCAAAATTTCTTACCATCATCGCCCATCTCGTCTTCTTCCTGCTCTTCTTCAGTGTCTGTACTTTTACTCTTTCCCATACTTTTAAGCTTCTTTTTTCTGGCAGCTCTTCGTCGTGCTTCCATTATGTGTAATTTCTCTTCTTCGGTCGTTCGTTCTTCAGCTAATATTACTTCCTCTACAAAAACAGTAGAAAAGTGAACAAACAGTTAGATAAATAAAACAGAAGCTACCAAACACCTACAAGCTTATGGACAGTGGCGCATCCCGGGGGGGTTTTGGGGGTTAAAATCTCCCCAGCGGACTATTCCGACACTGTTACTCACAAATTTTAAGGACTTAAAATGGTGGATGTAACATAAAAAAAAATTCGGTGTCCAACCAAAACCCCCCACAGGAAAATTCTCGGTGCGCCATTGCTTATGGATTTAGCCGTATATTCTGCTTTTTACTAAATATACTAAATGACAGAAATTCGAACACCCAGTTTAAACGATTTTATTTTAATAAAATTTTGTATAAGTACTTAATGAAGCATAATAAGTAAATAATTAAAATTTCAAAATGATTCCATTGCTTTAAAGCCCTTTTACCCTTAATAATGTGTGGATGCACCCCAATATGTTACGCATTTTTCAACGTGCCTAGGCATGCTTCTGATTAGGTGGTCAATGTCCTCTTGTGGTATCTCATTCCAGGCAACCACCAACTCCTCTCGAAGTGCTTGTACAGTCTGAGGAGGACGTTGCAAATTAAGCAATCTCCTATACATCATATCCCACACGTGCTCAATTGGGGATAAGTCGGGAGGTCTTGGTGATCATGCTAACAATGTGACATCATTACGTTGAAAGAAGTCTATTGTAACTCTTGCAAAATGTGGTCGGGCATTATCTTGTTGGAAAGTTGGATTTGCCAGGGTATCAAGATAGGGTAAAAGGTGGGGTCCTAGAACTTCTTAGATATAACGCTTCGCGTTCATGTTACCTCTGATGAAGAATAAAGGTGAACCATAAAGGTGAATAAAGCTGGAACCATAAGCTATAGCAGCCCAAACCATAACTCCAACAGTGTGATGAACATGTCTTTCAACAAAAAACTGTGGATTATTCCTTTCGCTACGTCGTCTTCTAACCCTCTCTTGACCATCGTGCATACCTAAACAAAATCGAGACTCGTCAATAAAGACAATACTGTTTTATTCCTGATTCCAGAGTAACCGTTCTCTGCACCACTGAAGGCGATTACGGCGGTGTTGTGGATTTAAAGGGAGGACCCAGTATGGTCGGTATGAAAACGGGCCAAAACTTCTCATTCGTTAGTAAACACTTCGCATGCCAATAGATTTTTCGTGTTCTGCAAATCATTCATTTGCAATGGAGCTGGTAGTGAAGAAACGGTCTCTTAAGGCCAATAATCTTAGACGGCGATCTTCACGGTCTGTTGTTCTACGGCGACGTATAGTACCCTTTGCTTTTTGCGTACGGCCATTTTGAAGCCATGCCTGACAACACCTAACCACGGTGTCTACACTTCTTTGCACTCTACTTCGAAATCGTACAGGTCTTCGTACTCTACGCATCGTAACCAATCGTAAAGAATGTTAAGAACCACAATCCGCCAAATTTAGATCTTTACTGCGGCTGAAATATTCATTTTTAGATTGTTAGTGAATTTAAAAACAAAAAGTATAAAAACCGAAATCTCGAACTGATAAGGCTAAAAACTTTATCACTTGTTTTTTCAGTAAGATAAATAAATTACACCAAATTTTATTGAAATAAAATCATTTAAACTGGGTGTTCGGATTTCTATGTCACTTAGTATAATTATATACATTTATTTTGATTTGGCTTATTTTATTTATTAAAAATATTATTTCCCGTTCGCAATTTATTCGTATTATGTTCCCTTATTCTGTTATTGCTGTTCTTAAATATTTAAATGCCAGTTTTGTAATTGATTCTGTAAGCACAGTGTTGTTTTGAATAATTTTTGCTTCTCTACCAACACCTTTAAGCTATTTAAAGTACCACGAGGAAACTAAGTTCCTGTAGCTGGCTGTATACCATATATCACAAAAAAATTTTGTTAAAATCCTTTATAAAAGGTATATAAAAATGCCTCAAACGGGCTATCACAAACCATTGCAAAACGTTTTCGGATTAAACAATCCATCATCAGTGCAAACGGTTGTACATGCTAGTAGCCACCAAAATATATGGGTAAAAACCCTTTAAATGTTATAAATTTGAAATTGTTTTACATTATTAGTATTTCTAATTTGTGATGGTTAAGTTACCGTTGGATAACTCGCCATGTTCGGATTTACTCGCCATGTTACCTATCCAACGGTAACTTAACTATCACAAATTAGAAATACTAATAATGTAAAACAATTTCAAATTTATAACATTTAAAGGGTTTTTACCCATATATTTTGGTGGCTACTAGCATGTACAACCGTTTGCACTGATGATGGATTGTTTAATCCGAAAACGTTTTGCAATGTGTTTGTGATAGCCCGTTTGAGGCATTTTTATATACCTTTTATAAAGGATTTTAACAAATTTTTTTTATTTGAAGTATTTTGTACTACAGAGAGCCCTTTTATTTTTGTTCTATGCCGCGCTTGTTTTCAAGCGTTGGCTATCGTCGCATTACCAAACTGATGAAATATTTCTCAGTCGGTAGCTAGATGAAACAATTCCTCGACCGTTCGACCTGTCCAGTGTCTAAAGATGGGTAGACATAGGACAATATGTATACAGCTAACCCATCGCAAACTTGTCACTGGTGAAATATAATTTATGCTTTGAGAGTTTCTGTTTTTTTTTCAACTCACTCTTTCCTGTTTCAACGGTTCTTGTGGAAACCTTTTTTTAGCGCCTAAAGGATGCCAGTGAGGTTATCAACAGTCTTTGGTGACATGTCCATAGTCTCACCTACTTTGCACCATTCATCATCTTTTAAGGTTTTTCGGAAATGATCACGGTCTTTCGTATCCTAGAGTATTGTTTAGTTCTGGTATGTCAATAAGTTCGATCGGATAGCTAAGCGGGTTGGGCGGCTGGTTTCTCCTTCGCTTTAATGCGAGAGATGTCAGTTCAATCCCCAATTTGTCAATAAGTTAAATACATTTATTCTCGGACCACAGTGTTATCATAGAAAACTTGGGTTCACGCCAAAAAATGTACACTAAATTTATACTAAAAAAATCAATCTCGATGCGAACAACGTCCAAATTGAACTGCGAATATCCTTTTTGTTCGTCCCAAAAACCGACAGGTCGTCGTCCCTGACGTGAGACGAATGAACAGATCGCAAGCGATTCGTCCTGCCACGCCGTACAAATAATATAGGTCCGTTTTCACCAAAAAACATCTACAAACATCTACACATAAACATTAGCTAACATTTGCTAACGTTTGCTAACACATATTGGCACAGTTTGTCAAAAAAACAACTCGAGAATTTGAGTAAGTTAGCAAACATTTACCATGTCTTGTTTGTACAAAATGGCTCCGAGAAGAGAATATGTGCGACTAGTTTGATAATCTTATCTCAGTTAGCAAAAAATGATTATATAAAAAAAGAAGAATAAAAAGGCGTCGATTTTTTTAAATTTATTGTAGTATAGCTTATGACTGGCATTTCATATTTCTGGTTTCATTTTGTAAAATTCAATTAATTCTAAATATTTCTCATTATCCCATTCCATTTTTTATAAGTAACAAATAAGACTCTACTATTTACTTACTAATCACTTACCGAAAACAAACTATTCCTTTCTACTATGACAGACTATCAAATCTAATGTCTCCACCAAACACGCACGAACAACGCACGTTGAAGTACCGACAGCCGACCAACTAACCAACCGTGCCAAACAATTGCAAACGTTTGCAATTGTTTGGGAGCATTCTGAAATCTGTCTACACCAACTAAATAAAATTGTTTGCTAACAGTTGCAATTATTTGCAAACATTTTGCGTGCTTGATGAAAATGCACCTTATGAATATATCGTTCGCAAACGGTTCGCGAACAGTTAGGCTAACATATGTCTATTTACCTTTCATTGTTGTTCATTCATTCGGTGTATTTCAATCAAAGCAAACACAAACGGACGAACGAATTCGTTCGTTAAAATTATGAGGTTCATTTTTACCATGTTCGCACAATGTTTGCAAATGTTTGCAAATTATTGCAACTATTAGCAAACAATTTTATTTGGTTAGTGTAGACAGATTTCAGAACTCTCACAAACAATTGCAAACGTTTGCAATTTTTTGGCACGGTTCCGTCGGTTGTCGGTACTTCAAAGAGATTCGTTGTTTGTGTGTGTTTGGTGGGGACATTAGGTTATATAGTCTGTGATAGTAGAAAGGAATTGTTTGTTTTCGGTGAGTGTTTAGTAATTAGTAGAGACTTATTCTGCTTGATCGTATTCACGAGGAACAAGAGGAAATGGGCAGTAAAATAAACTCAAACAAAATCAAATCTTTAGTGTTTAGTCGTGACCTACATCCCTGCAAAGCTTCAATTAAACGGAGGCCCAGTTAAGAAAGTTCACAAAATGACATATTTGGAAACTGTGATTACGAACTAACTAGATCCAGACATAGAAATAAAACGTAAAATAGCAATGACTAAAATTACTTGTATGAAAATGAAGTCATTTCCTTGCAATAACCATCTCAGTTTAGAACTAAGGCAAAGAATGGTTAAGTCCTTTTTTTGGTCCGTACTTTTATATAGTGCAGAAGTGTGGACGGTAAAAGTACCGATCATGAAAAAATTGAAACATTGGAAATGTGGGTTCATAAACGAATGCTGAAGATACCTTGTACAGCAAGGAAAACTAATGAAGAAGTACTAAGGAGCGTCAACAAAGATAGAGAACTGCTAAAGAATGTTAAACATCGAAAAATGTCTTATCTGAAACATATAGTAAGGGGAAGTCCATATAAAATATTACAACTAATCCTTAAAGGCAAAATAGAGGGCCGTAGAAGTGTAGGAAGAAAACAAGTTACTTGGTTAAAAAATATTCGTGAATGAACTCAGACCAAATGCAGGACAATTATTCCATATTGCAGAAGATCGAGGATCCTTTTCAAGGTGATCGCCAACGTCGGATAATTCTGATATGGCACGCGAAGAAGAAGAAGAGACTTATTTGTTTTTTTTAATGGAATGGAATTATGAAAAATGTTTACAATTAATTGAATTTTACAAAATGGAACCAGAAATATGGAACGCTATACTACAATAAATTTAAAAAATTCGACGCCTCTTTATTCTTCTTTTTTATATAATCGGTTTTTACTAACTCAGACATGATTATAAAACTAGTCGCACATATAACTACTCTTCTCGGAGCCATTTTGTACAAACAAGACGGAAAGATGGCAAATGTTTACAAACTTACTCAAATTTTTGAGTATTGGTTTTTGACAAACTATGCCAAACGTGTGTTGGCAAACGTTAGCAAATGTTTGTGTGTAGATGTTTCTAAATATTTTTGGTGACAACGCAACTAATAGGCACTATTTTACAAATTAGTTTGAGAGAGTTGTCTGTTGGTGCTGAAAACTTGTATGCAGCATATGTGAATAATTTTGCAATATTCAATGGACGAATGAAGAGACGCTTCATTTAATCGAATTTTGTAGAAACGAAGATTGAAACAAATCGGTATATCTCGCAAAGAAAAAACTGTAAATACGTATTTTTGGTCGTCATCAGTACTGTGCAGCCAAGTTACCTTAAGAATAGAAGAACATTAACTTAGGAAAAGGATTACTTCAAAAGCGATGCGACCCATTTGTGGCAATAGTGTTAGATGTTCCTGATGGTTTCCAGGGCAACAACTCACAACAACCACATGAGAAGCTACAGCTATTTGAGGAAATAAATGTCAAACGTAAAAAGCTGTTGTTAGTTGTTACTAGCTTGTCCTCCGATACAGATGACGACCAAATAGTCAGAAATATGTATTTACGGTTGCCTTTCATCTTATATTCAACTGATTTTGCCTTCATTTAACATTTTAAATTATGTGTTGCTTCCTTTTAATTAATTTTGTAATAGATTAAGATGGTATTACATATATACATTAAAGTAAAGAATAATGTGTCAAGTGATCTGCATAATGTTTAATTAACTATTTTTCATCACTATACCCAATAAAACTGAAATAAAAATTTTCTCTAAATATTTACTGTTTTAAACATTATCCATTCTATTTAGATCCAAGTAAAATTATCAATTCATCCCCATCCCGTAGTTCGTTCCCTTAAAGCCAGATCAACTATTCAACCCATTTTCGACAGAACATCCAACTAAATTAATTATCTTGGAAAATCTACTCGGCCAAGCACTTACCTGCTTTACAGATCCATTGCACGTAACCGTTCAATTCTCTCTCTAGCTGTGCAGCTCGTCTTAATTTTAAAAATTCTTGGCGATTTTCTACTTTTTCTCTTTCTCTGGCAAATTCGCTAAATAAGAAAAGCAAGGGTTAGGAGCTTCTAGCTTATACTACTTACTGCTACAGGAAGGATATGCTTATAATGGATGTTTTTTTATATTTGAAGACGAGTTAATTCTATCAAATAAAAATGTTTGTGTGTTGGCATAAAGAGAATGTTTTTTTTTCTTTCTTGTGTACTGTAATAAATCGTGCATATATGGCGTTCTACAAAACACTTTTAATTTGACCAAGTTTTAAATAATAATAGTATAGTCATCAAAGATTTGATTTTTAAAAACGAGATCAACAAGCTGAATTTTGCTGCTGAAAATGTCAATTTTGGGACCTCAATAAGGTGCAACAAAACTTTTCAACTTCTACCCTCAGACTTCCCTCTAGCTAGGTGTGGGGAAACGTTGATTAAGAAAATATCTGTATCACATAGAATAAAAAGTGGAGTATGGGGGACTTGAGGCAACCCCTTCACTTCCACTCTGACGTCACAAGCTCCGTTCACTGACGTCACAAGCCCCGCCCTGACGTCAAAAGCCATGCCCACACAAACTCCGCCCACACAAGCTCCGCCCATCAAGATGGCCGCCCTTTTCTTTTAGGCTGCCATTTTTCTTCGTTCTCTCCTGCCATGTCAATTCCTCTTCTTTCTGCTGTCCCCATATTCTTCTTTTACTTATCTGATGTCCAAACGTCTTCTTTTCAACTCTTTTTTTATTCGTCTGTCACAATTCTTCCTCTTTCTTTTCTGGCATGCCATAGACCTCCCTCTCTAATGCACATGCACTGCTCTGCAGTGACCTTCACAAATCTAAGAACGCCTACTACAATATACCTCAAAAGTCCTATCGACATGCGCTTTAGAGGCGAAAAGTGCAGCTTTCGTATGCAATTTTTGAGTTTTGGTGCAAATGAAGTCAGTTTCCATAAAGCTGTTAAATAAACGTAGCGCGATTGTTGCCTCTTTTACGGAAGACCGATCATTATAAAATTTCCATGAGTAGTGCTAGTTTCTAGGAATGTGTAGGAGAGTCTTGCTCTGTGTACCCAAAGATTTGGGTGAGATTTAGTTTAGTATCCCAATTGAGTCTCCTTTGAAATTTAACACCCAAGATTGAAACGGGAGTCTGGCTCATGTAATGGCACATACATGTAATATTGGCATAATTATTGTAATTTATATTATCTATCTTTGTTTATCTTTATTAAACAACACCTTAATATGGGTTTTATTATTTCAGCAATTATTTAACTTTGTATCGAGACCACAAGATGCTTTGCATATTGTAGAAAGCGAAACCGGTCGTCTGGATAGTTAAATTAAATTGATTGTGAGTAAGTTTTATTTATTATTTCTTTTACCTATTTGAAATGGACACACAAGCAACACATTCATGATTAGAATAATATTTAAAACTTATTTGTAACAGGAAATACAAGAAAAATGCTTTAAAAAATAATGCAGCTGTTAACGACAACCTAACCGTGTTCTTAAATGACTTACACCACGTTTGCACAACATTTTATAGTACCTAGTAGGAAGTATTGGAAGCTAACGTTCAATAATTTTATAGGTAACAGTATGACGTTAAAGCTATTGCGTACTCGTTGTGATGTAAGTACAAATTATACAAAAACATGACTTACACCACTTTTGCTCTCAGCGGAACTTAATAATATCTCTCCGGTGTAATCTTGAATAATTTTTACACTCATTCTTTTTCTTCTTCTTTTTCTTCTTCAAGTGCCATTTCTTTCCGAAGGTTGGCGATCGTCAGGGCTATACGTATTTTCGAAACTGCTGACCGAAACAATTCGTTGTTGCTACAGCTATACCATTCCCGTAGATTCTTTAGCCAGGAGTTTCGTCTTGTTCCTATGGACTTTTTTCATGCTATTTTCCCTTGCATAATTATTCGAAGCAGTTCATATCTTTCGCCTATTGTAATGTGTCCCAAGTATTGCATTTTTCGTTTTTTGATCGTAAATATGACTTCCTTTTCTTTATTCATTCTTCTCAAGATCTCGACTTTTGTGACTCTCTTGGTCTATGGCATTCACAGGATTCTGCGATACATCCACAGTTCAAATGCCTCTAATTTTTTGATATTAATCTTTTTCAACGTCCATGACTCCCTTCCGTAGAACAGCACAGAAAGTACGTAACATCTCATCAAGCGAAGTTTCATTTCAAGGCTCAAATCTCTTCCGCAGAACACTCTCTTCATTTTAGTGAATATGGATCTGACTTTTTCTATTCTTATTTTGATTTCTGCCTAGCTATCGTTGTCTTCATTTATAAAAGTGCCTAAATCTTTGTATTTGCTAACTAGATCGATAATTTCGTGTTGATAAATATAAATTTTGTGTTGATTTCGATATTACCATAAATTTAGTTTTCTTTATGTTCAAAGATAGTCCATATTCTTCGCTGCAGTCTGCTATCTAATTCACCAATGTCTGTAGCTCTTTAAGTGTTTCTGCGATCAGAACGGTGTCGTCGGCAAATCTCAGGTTGTTTATCTAACACCATTTATTTTAATACCTACGGATTGCTCAGAGAGTGTTCTAATCATTACGTCTTCGGAATAGAGATTAAACAGGGTTTCCTACTCCATTCTCTACTCTCACTACTGCTTTCTGATTGTAGTACATATTTGCTATTAGTCGGATGTCTCGTTTATCTAAATTCTTTTCTGTCAGGAGTCTGATTAGGTGATCATGTCGCACTTTATCAAAGGCCTTGTTGTAATCTATGAAACACATGAATACATCTTGATTTATGTCAAGACATCTTTGAGACATAACGTTCAGTGCAAACAACGCCTCTCTTGTTCCGAGTCCATTTCGGAATCCAAACTGGGTATTATTGATGTCCATTTTCATGTTTCTGTGTACTCTGTGTACTCTAGAGTGTCTAATTTTCAGGAATTTTACACTCATTGATTCAATTTTAATTTTAATTAAACCTAAATACATTAAAAGCAGTACAATGAATGGAATTCGTTTAGTTTCTTTTTCCAGTCAGTAATGTGCCGAAAAAAGAGAATACATTGCATGAACATTAGCTATAAACTTTGTTAATTAAAAACGTTGAACTGACTTTAAAAAAAAGCAGTTCGGCTTCAGAAAAAACCATCCACCCCGTACAAAAAAATACACGAACAAGGTCTTTTGTTAGTGAGTTTAAAAATAGACGCTTGATATAAACTATAATTATATACCTACGCCTGATCCGTCCCATACTAAATGAACTGTTAACGAACCTTACAAAATGGAATATTGATTCGTTCTAAAACCTCATCTGAACAGAAAGTCTGGTCATTCCGTCTCGTTGACAAGCTTTGTGGTCAATTTGTTGCTTTTTAGTCTAATCGCTTATACGTATTATCAAGCATCTATCTAGGTTACTAGCATGTAGATACAATTAGTTTGTGATTTTACAGTTATTTATCGAGATATGAATTCACTTTTTATAACGAAATTGTACAATTTGTATGAGATTATATAAGACATGAAAAATTTAAAACATGTACTAATATAATAGAACAATCAAGTTAGTAAAAAATTAACTTTTTTTCGTCACAACTGTATCGACAGGTTTGGCAGTTGAAATCTGAAATATTAGATACTATGTAACAATAGTACATTGTTTACCGGGTAGGAAAAGCTTAACATTCCTGGACGACTGTGAAGATTGCTAAGTCGAGGCGCAAGCCGAGACTTAGCAACACAGAGTCCAGGAATGTGGCTTTTCCTATGAGGTAAACATACTATTTTTCCACAAATTGTTTAAAATTCGACAGATATTGATTGATTTAAAAAAAACGCGATAATTTTATTCCCAAATAAATGGTGCTTTGAAATTCCTAATAAAATTACTTGGGTTACTATGGAAACGTATTGAGGTTGAATTGTCAAACTTGACGCTTATAAATTTAATTGCTGGTGTTCTCGAAAGTAAAATGATAAGTGATGATGAAATTTCCATTCCTAGGACTCCTCCAGAGCTGGTTGAGGCAGTAAATACTGCTTCATTAGAATTATTGCCAAAGAAATCAAGAGAAAAGTACGAAAATGCATACAGACGTTTTATGGATTATCGCATGAGTAAAAATACGAGTTCTTTCTCAGAAAATGTTGTAATGGCATACTTCCTAAACCTTTGTTTAAAGATGAAATCTTCAACATTATGGGCCAATTATTCAATGCTGAAGTCAACCCTTGCACTTAAACACAATGTAGATACTCAATACAACTACATACTCAAAACTTCGTTCTTTATTGAAACGGCAAGCTCAAGTTTATAGGGCAAAAAAAATCTAAGATTTTAACGAAGGAAGAAATTGAAAAATTTATCCAGGAAGCTCCAGATAAAGAAAATTTAATGATTAAGGTAATTTACAAGGTTTTAATTTCTATTTAGATTATAGCTTTATTTATTTTTTAGGTGGCTGTAATATTGGGTATTTCTGGGGCCTATAGAATGGATGAGTTAGTCCGAATGACTGTATACGATATAGAAGACTTAGAATCTAAGCTTTTAATCAGCATACCTGATTCAAAAACCAACAAACCAAGATCATTTGTAATTAATCAGATCTACTTGAATGTTTATCGAAAGTATGTTTCGTTAAGACCAGAAAATATGAACAGTGACCGATTTTTCTTTAAATATCAAAGCGGAAAGGGGTTGTAGACAAGTGGTAGGAATTCATCAATTTAGAAAAATGCCCAAAATAATTGCTACTTATTTGAACTTGGTAAATCCGACAGAATATACTGGTCACTGCTTTCGTCGGTCTTCTGCAACAATATTGGTTGACTCTGGTGCCGACATAACTAGTTTAAAGAGGCATGGCGGATGAAAGTCATCAAACGTTGCTGAAGGATATATCGAAGAATCGCTTAACAATAAGGTTGAGGTGGCAAATAAAATTTTCACAGTACGAAATATTCAACAAAATGACACTTCCACCCTGCATGTTGTCCAAAATGTTTCTCATAGTTCTAAGA